GTAAGCTCGTGTCGTTGTGGTATTAACAGGTTCCGATAGAGGGGCCTTAACAAGCGCTCCCGTTGCGAAGAGGCCCTCCGGCCTTAACAGAGTTCACCTAGATTTATACAAGTTAGCCTTAACGAGTTTTTGGAATTAGGATTGTTCCAAACCCTCGCTACACGCAGCTCATTGCTCACGCGTAACGCCAGAGTAGGCGAGCCCGAGGGTGTCCTGTTAGAGGCCTAAGACGCGTCCTCATCCACCTGATAATAAGTCAGGCTTCCGGATCCAGCTGCGAGCTAGATAGACCCCTATCGGATGGTTTTAATCTCCCATTTTTATCCCTCAAGAGGCCTCCCTTGATGAAAGGACACCGTGTCTAAGCGGAGGCAGTAAACACAGTCGTGCTGGTGTTGGTGGTATGGGGATACCACGCCCAACGCTTACGACCTGCACGCGTAACGCGCGCGTCTCTCTCATCGCCACTGCACTTAGCCATCGATAGAGAACTCTTCCCCATCAATGTTTCCACCCGCGGCGACGTGGACGCGTGCAGTTGGACTTCGCGGGCGATGAAGATAACTTAAATACATAGGAGAAGACTGAAGAGTCCTGATTAGACCTAGCCCAGGGGTAGGGGGCAGTGAAAGGAATGTTAGGTGGCAGTAGAAACCAACAGGGGAATCTTGCGACAGGGAGGGCGGAGGGAGGAAAATGCCTGAGCTAAGCGCCACCAAGTCACAGCTATAGAGTACCGATAGAGCGATAGTTACCACGGACGCTTTACTGCAAAAGACTTAACACTGCGCGATGTCTTCGCCAGTAACCAGCCACCACGAAGACCTTCAGATAAGTGGCATACTCAAGCATTCCAAATCTGTGTCAATCACGTGAAAATTGCCCGTTCCCCACTATTATACTTTTCACCACTTCCACTACCAATTTAGTATTAAGAACAGAGAGATTTTGGCGTTATATTTGAGATACAAGGAGCTAAGCGAAGAAGTAATTATTACCTTCGTTTTCTAGGCACTTAACGAGCGAATGCCTAAAGCGATCGGTCTCCATATCAACTTTCTCCCTGGGGACATTGTGCCACGCATGTTCCAACGCAACGATAGCCTTTTCACGAGACAGCTTCCCCCTTGATGTCCGTAAATCCTCAAATGGTAAGTGATCCTTGATATAATGCCAAATTCGTTCAACCTTGTTCAGATCTGGGGATCGCGGAGGCCACTTCACCACGTTGATTCCGAGCTCCTGACGCTCCTCAAAGGTAATCTTCCTTGCCTTTGTATGGGGAGATGCGTTGTCCTCGATAATCCAAACAGTCCTACCTGTATCCCGAGCCACGTCTTGTGCGAAAGGAAAAAGCTTTTCGCGCAGGATTGTCTGTCTGTACCGTGCCCAATCTATACCGCCCTTGGTCTTGCCTGAACGTGTTGCGAGCTCCCGTTTGAACTCCCATTCGGGCCTTCGATTTCGCCTGCGTGTACCGTTTTCGCGGTTCTCCCTAGTTTTGAAATCAAATTAACGTGGCGATTACGGTTTGGTTGGTTCAGACCGAAAAGAGTCCGGAAACGAACGCAGGATATTAGCACCACAGAAGTGCCAAATCCGACCTTTTGGCACCGTCTCACTACTTACCTCTGTATATCCTCGTTCATTTCATGTATCTCTCGGAATTGATGAGTGCCAGGCTGCCGTGCAGCGGCTCTGTCCTGCTCCATTAACCGCTCCTTTTCAGCGTTCTCTTGGTCGATATTTTCCTTCAACTTTTGCGTCTCCTCTATGGTCTCCCGGGACCAGGTGTGACAGGGCCCTGTACCGTACAGATCGTATCCGTAGACAATTGCGCCCCAAAACATAATTGCAGGCTGGATCTCGTCGGCTGGTGGTCGTGAGTAATTGAATGGGTTCTCTCCTACCTCCCAGGTAACGGCAGGAGGTTTATTATGTCGATCCGTATCGATAGACACCTCGTCTGTAAAGATAAAGAGATCTCCTCGATCTAGCTTAGGGAGTGCCCATTCTGCGAGCTGTATACGGAACCGTTTGTGCCAGAATTCGAGGTGAAGTTTACGTGGTGGGCGCCTTCGTCGGAGGTAGTGATCTTCGTGAAGAGTCCTCCATCCCGTTGTTTGTGAGATAGGTTCTCCGTATACCCGTGAAAAATCGTCGATTACATGTCGCCAGGGCGTGTCTTGGGCCTCTTCTGTACATTGCGCATGGATCCGAAGGGCATCGGAGGTCTGCGGGGAAATCGCATGGGGTCTGCCAGGACGAGCTTCAAGATAGTCCCGAGGGCGATCCTGTACGATCGCATCTAGGATATCTGGTAAACTCGGAACGAAATTGACTGGTAAATCTCTCGATAAGGCTTGTATCTCACGGGCACGCCTAGAGATACGCGATAGCGCCTTTTGGGCAGTATCCGGTCTAACCCGGATTAGGCTAGAGATCTGCGGAAGATTCTGCCCTAAACGGTGCGCCGTCGCGATGCTTGCGATTTGGGGACCTGTAAGTCTTGGTCTCTGTGGTGCACGTCGTTGCGGAGGCATTGAATAAAGCGAAAAGTGAAAATAAAGTCAGACTTGGCTAGATATCTTAGTATTTACTAGCTAAATTGATCGTGATCTCTTACTATTATAGAGTTAGTGAGGGTTGGCGAGGCCTCTGCACGTGATTGATAGAGTATTGAAATTTCCTAAGGCAACCTTTGGTTGAGTATCAACCAGGTAGCTCGGCGGTCGCTCGCGCGAAAGACTGGGTTATCAGGCGGCTTTGGCACGCCATAACCTGTGGCGCTGACCCTTGATAACAAAATATGTAGGAGAAGACTGAGGAGTCCTGATTAGGCCTAGCCCAGTGGTAATAGGCAGTAAAAGGAATGTTAGGTGGGAGTAGAAACCAAGAAGGGCATCTTGCGAGTTGTGACAGATGCCCTCAAACACTTGGTAAAGATAGAACCAATGCCTGCAGAGGGTAGCTAGCGCATACAAGCGAACACCAAATGCGGCCCTAGAAAGAGAAATGGGCTACGTTCCCACCCCCGCTCTACTATAGTATATACAGGCGGCCCGTTACCAATTTGCCGCAGAGTCCGCCCAAGCCGCCCAAGCCGCCGACGCCAGCTGGCGGTTTTGTAGGAACAGGGGGATAAACATAAGACCGAGGTTTCCCCACCCAAACGACTAGTAGTCAAACATCGTTATCTTCGAAGTGGAAGGATACTCAAGGGCGTATCATCCGCATCCGTCTATTACAAAAGCCAGCGCTTCCAGTGGAGACACAGAAGGACACCTGACACCGATTTATCTACATGGCTAGCACCGAGCCGGAACATCTGGCGGCAACTGAGGGGACCGGGGAAATCGCTCTGGTGGGTCTCAAACTGGGTCGTCCCATGCGGCTACCACGACCTTATTTCACGATACTAATGTTGGATCAAACCAGGATGGCCAACAAGAGACAGATTCGGCGTATGCGGAATCGTACGTAACCCGACAATTGTTAGGTAGAGGCCAGCAATGTTGATCATATGGTTTCTACAGCACTCATGAGAGCGATACGACATCGCTAAAATCGAGCATACGGAACTATCGCTGGCATCACGGGAGGCGTTATCATTCGTATGGGGAAGGGGAGTATTGGGGGCCTAACGATGATGAACAATTGGACAATGAAGATTTCGGGTCAGCAATCTTGCCAGCTTTGCAGGTTTATATCTGGTCACTAAGGAGGAGTTTAGGCATCAAATGTTCATCAAGATCCTGAAAGACAACCTGTTCGTCGCCCCGATAGGTGAAGACCCGCAGGTATGCGATCAGTCTAAAGTCAAAGATAAGACTGACGAGCTTCCGATACAGCGGATTCTTGATATTGGAACTGGCTCTGGGATTTGGGCTATGTTCGTGCCCCTCTATTCAGCTCAGGCTAGAAGTGTCTTGGCTGCTTACACTACCATCCTTCTCGCAGTGATGTCGCCGATCAATACCCATCTGCCGAAGTTATCGGTGTTGACATATCCCCCGTCCAACCGTCTTTTGTCCCTCCTAACTGCCGCTTTGAGCTCGACGACGCTACTCAGCCGTGGACTTTCCAAGAGAACCACTTTGACTTCATCCATATCCGCATGATGAACGGATGTGTGCCGGATTGGACGGCTTTCTACCGGCAAGCTCTGAAACACATTAGACCTGGCGGCTGGTTTGAACAGGTCGAGCTTTCTATCCACACGCATTGCGACGATGGCAGCCTTCCCGATGACTCCGTTTTTCATAAATGGGCACATCTATTCATCGAAATTGGCCAGAAAATTGGAAGGACGTTCGAGGTAGCAGAGAGTGCTCCAGAATGGCTCAAAGCGGCCGGATTTGTGAACGTGACAAACCAAACTATCAAGGTTCCTCTGGGGCCTTGGGCAAAAGAAAAACATTTGAAGGAGCTTGGCCTTTGGAGCCGAGTGTACTTGGAGAATAATCTCGAAGGCTTCGCCTTAAAAGTGACTACAATGTTCGCTGGTTGGTCAGTCGAAGAGGCGCAAGTCTTCTTCGCTAAAATGCGCAAGTCTCTGCGTGACCCATCTATACACAGCTATATATACCTGTAAGCGCTCCAGCTCCCCTCATTTCGCGCAGATGTTTCCCTTATATCGAAGAAAGCATCTGCCGTAGTAGCTGACTATAGAGCGTAGGAAGGTGGTTACTGGACAGAAGGCAAACGAGTAACATGTGAGCGAGTATTTGGCTTGTCGCTAAATTGGGAATTGGCAAAGAAGCGGTAGATGCCGTCATCTCGGATCACCTCTTGATACATACGCTACTAACGGCCTATTTATGGAACTAAGGAAGTGCTAGGTGTTCGATATCAAACATCCCTATGGGATCAGGTGGTCACTACCCGATGGGGACTAGCCCCATCGGAAAGATCCTCCTCCGACGGATACTCCTAGAAAATAAAATCAACAAGGATCGCATACAACTTTGAACCGGTTATAAGCTCTTAGAATTTGGAATATCTGAAGAGGATCAATATTCTAAGATTGGAATATCTACAGAGGCGTAATCTGTAACGCAGAGGTAAAGAGACGATCAAGTTCGATAAGGGTAATATGTTACAATAGGAAACTAATCCCAAGGGATCTGTCCAAAGGTCTCTGTAAGAGTCTTGCCCTGTACACCCAGACTATTGGTTATGGCCTAACAGCCTCAGACTGGTGCTGGTGCATTCTTATTTGTCTTTACCTATCTCTATTACTATGGCAGTATGGCTTGATCCCCTCTATAGCCTGCTTAGCAACCTCCGTCGTTAGATGAGTTCTTTGCTGATATCGAGCGTCGACGACTTCAGCCTGTTTTATATAACTAACTTAACTGCAGTAACTTTAGCATAGTGTGACAGTCTTGGCTTCGCCCAGTGTTAAGGAGCTGTGTTAAGGAGCTGTGTTAGGATAGCAGAGAGAAGAGTTGATGTCTCGCGTACAGAGGCGCTGGGAGATTTCTTCCTTCTCTCTCTTCAGTTTAGATCAACGAAACTTGGTAATCGCAGATCCTGCGCATCCGGACCGTGTCAACCTTTAAGTTTACACAGATTAAAGGTAACGTATTCCACAAGCGAGCGGCCCACCTCACCTGTACGAAACGACTTCAACGATAGATATCTCTACAACGTCGAATAAAATCAATTATTTTTAATTTCCAGACTATTCTACAGTATCTTGCCGACCTAGAGGACATGTTTCAATACGATGTCCTACCTCACGGCAGCGTCCACATCGCCTTCGACGCGGCGCAGCCCCGTCCTGTCGGGTACGACTTTGACGCATTTCTTGAGAAATTTGGGACTCAACGGCGGAATGATTAATTAAATCCTGCCCCTCCTCAATAGCCAAAGACCCTCGCTCCTGAATCCGCTTTTTTTTTCGTTGTCTTCGTTGTGTTGCGAGCTTGTTTGCCTTTCGAAGAGTCTCGTTTTCACCCTTCAGAATCGTGAGCGAATGGACCATTGCCTGGGCGTCCTTGACGAACTGATCAAGCGCCTCATTGATTGGCGTAGGCGAGCTATTTTGGTGGTTCGTAATACGGCCTTGAATTAGCTTCGATTGAGCCGTCAATTCAATAGCGTTGCTTGGTGTTTTCGTCTCCCATTGAGCATCCTCAGCGGCTGGAGTCGGAGTCCTTGGTCTGACGTCGAGCTTCGAAATCACGGCTTCTGGATTGTACGGAACTAGCCCTGAGCCTCGGAAGGCCCCACGGATATTCTTCTTCGTAAGAGCGGCTTCGTGTGCGGCTTTAAATGCTGGTAGGAACTCGAGTTTGGTGATATGGTTGATAGAGTTCCGTATCAAGTCCTCAATCTGAATCCGTACGCCTTCTTCAGAGGCCCAAAACAACCCATATCAAGCGGCTAGAGGATGTAGGACGCGTGCGGAGGCATACAAAGCGTAATAATGTTCTTCTCTTTGCAGAATTCCTGGAATTGAAGCGAGTTATGGCTCTCATGCCCATCAATGACCAGGAGACGCCAGCCTCCGGTTGTACGAGGCGTTGTATGCTTCTCAAAATGCTGTAGCCATTCAAATCCAAGCTCATTCGTTGTCCATCCATTGTCGCTTAGGGTCAAAACCCAATCCTTTGGTATATCGTCGCTATACCACGCTGAGAGGTGGTGTTATCCACTGAAGATCACGAAAGGTGGGATAGACCAGCCTTGAGCGTTGACTCCCTGAATAACCGTGACCTATTCGCGATTGCCTGGCTGTATCGCTTTAGGTCTATGGCGTCTCTCAGAGGCTGTGATAACCTTGGCTGTTGCGATAAGGCCCATCAGGAAGCCTACTTCGTCCATGTTATAGATATCGTCCTCATGGATGCCGTACTTGGCGATAGTATTGCGTACGAACTCAAACCAGCCCTTAATAATCTCTGGGTCCTTATTCTAGGCCCTCTGGTAGTCTAACCGTCGATTGAAGCGCATTTTGAGCTCAGGGGTCCGCTTAACGAAGTTTAAGGCCCAGTTAATAATACCGACGCTTCTGCTATCCCGAGCAGCAAGGAGTTTATTGGCCATATCTTTAACACCACCTAACCGGGCCCTAAATCCTCGCGAATCTAGGTCCAAGATATATCGAATAATAACACTCTCCTCTAGATCCGTAAGTTTTCTTGAATTGGGCGTACAGTCGCGTCGTGAAAGGATTCCAGCGCGTCGATCTCTAAGAGTTGTTCTAGGGACGTTGAATATAGCTGCAGCTTGTAGATTGCTCTGGATTTGGCCTTGATCGATAGCGTGTATAGCTAAAGATAAACGACCCTCTTTTTGGATAGATCGAGCATCAATTGATTGAGACATTGTTGTTTGTAGACCGAGTGTCGCGTTTTCTGGTTGAGGTGGCGGCTCGCTTGTAGTGGCGGCTCGCTTGTGGAATACGTTAATCAGTCTTTTACTATTGTCGTCTTCACAACATTGACCCCTTAGCATTTATGCCTAAGGTATCAACCATTGGTGGTGACCGATGCCTGCAATCCGCAACAGGGTGTTCGGTCCGTGCTGCTGTATATTTCTCCAAGATTTAACGTAGTAAGACGGCAAGAGCAAGGCTGAGGAATGTAAGGTTCTGGAAGTGTCGCCCGAGAGCAACCTATCGGATCAACTTCGGATAATGGGTGAAAATTCGGTCCGTAAGCCAATACTATTCTTGAAAGTAGTCATCCTTAATTAATCAACCAATGTCGCACGGGATGTAACGGATCACGATGGATGAGTAGTGACTCCGGTCGTAACGGTATGAATTTAGCTACAGAAGAAGAGAGAAGTTCCAAGTGTGCGTCTCCCGGAATGGTCTATGTAAACCTAACATCGTGAGGCTGCCTCAGGCCGCAAGGCCAATTATCTACAACCTGGGCCAACAGCCCAAGACTATGACACGGGATGTGCTAATGGTTGAAAGTGTCAAGTGTGAAGGCCCAAACCACGAAGGATTTGATATATCTGAAAAGGAAAAGATCCCTCTCACTACGATCTGCTATTTTACATCTCTGTGGGCAAACGGTCTACCTATTCCCTTCTGCCTTAATCCCCACATAGGCCGACCGAAGTTGGCCCGACGGGCGCCAGAATCAATCAATCATCTTCTGCCTTAGGCCGCAAGGCCACAACATACAGACTGGGCAAAGTCCCCAACTGTCACAGGAAGTCAGGGCAATCTTTATGATCAAGCAGCAGAGTTTTCTCATTCTGTAAGTTGTTCTTCTATCTCGATATCTTCTGTTAGAGATCAGGATGTCTCTGACTCCCTGTTTTTCGGGGTCCTCTGGTTTCCTACCCGTGACCCCGTATTTCCATGACAGCGCATCACGCATCCCACCATGTCACTAGCCCCTCATTCTTTTGCTTTCTCGCTTATTTTAAGGAAATAAAGGTCTTCGAGGTTATCAAATGTATACAGAACTTAAATATGGGCGTATTCCCGTAGTTTTTACGCTCATTAAGGATCAAGGTCAATATACCTACGCTCTTTTGGAATCTAACGGTGTTTTCCTACTGTACCGCTGTACCGATCACTTGATTGAGCGAACTGCGAAACCGCTATTTACCTCACATCTTCCCGGTCATTGCCTTCGAATGATGAGTATAGACCTACATTTTCTCCCTTACGATAGATCGCGATGATGCTCTGGGCACCTTTATGGTGGTATTTTCACCTCGAGGGATTAAATACCCGCCTCACTCGCGCTGCTCACTGGTCGTTCAGGCAGCAACAATATGATACTTATTCTTGCAGACAGGTCTATCGCATTCATTCGAGTTTTAACCAGCAGGCTCGGAATGCCGTTGTCACATCGCCTCTGGGGCCGGAATTTTCCGGTTAGGGGGCAGAGGCAACGGGACTACAGCGGAGTAGAAGAGAAGACAGATTAATAAATAAAGGAACAGCCCAATTTCTTGTCTTGGGTATTTATGCATGCCAGCTGAGCGATTCTAACAGTTCTATCTAGGTATACATGCCAGCCGGGCGCTTCTAAGAGTTCTATCTGACAGGAGTATTTAAGGGGTCCATAACAAAAGAAATTAAAAAAGTGGTTCATTCAAGAAAAACCATCGCCTTTGCCGCTGCTATAGCATGTCGACAAAGGATCAACCCGGCGGCGTGATCCTAGCCATCGTCCCAGCGGCGTGTTCCACGTTGTGAGGAGATAGGCGCATCAACGACCGAGTCAGGCCAACGACCTGACCCGACATGGCCTTTATTTTTCGGTGTAAAATATGCAGCTACAGCTGTTTCGGGGCCTCCTTGCTATCTTCGCTGCTGAGGCCGAGCTCGTTCTTCTCAGGTTCGGAAGGATCACTGGTATCCAAGCCCAGCTCTCGAGATTGCTGGGTGATCTGCTCTAAATCGAGCTTGGACATGTCGTCGGCGACCATGTACGGCCACTTCCCTTCGACATGGGCCTTGGCGTAGACGATGTCGATCTCCTCGAGCTCACGACCAGCCGTCTCCACGTAGAAGAACCAGGCGAATGGGATAGCGCTAAAGTTAATCAGTGCGAAGAAGAGATAAACTCCCCATCCGCTCGAGGCAGCGAAAACCGGTGTGAACATGACCACGGCGAAGTTGCAGATCCAGTTGGTGCAAGTCGACGCCGCGGCGCCCACTGTACGGGTGCGGACCGGATTGATCTCCGGCGGGTAGATCCAGGGTAGCGGCAAGAGGGTGAAGGCGAAGAAAGTGATGAAAAGGAAGATCCCAACGATAGCACCCTTGGAGTTCTCCTTGGTCGGATTGATCAAGCAAGCGAATGTGATAAGAAAGCTGAGCCCCTGACCAAGGAAACCAATCAAGTACAGCTTGCGACGGCCAACCTTCTCAATCATAAAGAAGGACGGGATGGTAGCGAGGGCGTAGACGGTGGCGAAGACACCACCCAGGATCAAAGCCAGCCGGCGTTCCAGACCCAGGTTTTGCTCGAAAAGCAGCGTCGAGTAGTAGATGGCGGCGTTGCAGCCGGTGAACTGCTGGAAGAACTGGCCGGAGCAACCGACAAGGATGCGCTGGAATTCCTGGGTCTTGCCAAACGTGAATATCGCCTTCAAGCCCACCTTTGAGGCCTTCGAGGCTTCCACGTCTGCCTTCATGAAATTGAAGTCGGTAAGGACGGCATCGGAGTCCGGTGTGGTGTCCTTGAGCTTAGCCAGAACGTAGCAGGCCTCTTTGTCAAGTCCTCTCTTCACAAACCACCGAGGGGAATCCGGGAGCATGAGGGCACCGGCGGCCACGATCAGAGCGAAGAAAACCTGGAGCGCTATGGGGAATCGCCACTGGACGGTGTCTGAGACGTAGGAGAGACCAAAGACCACCCAGTAGGCGACGAAGGTGCCAATAGCGATAACCGCACCTTCGAAACAGACGAGGAAACCGCGATTATGAGCGCCAGAGCATTCCGCCTGCCAGACGGGGATCGTGGCCGTGTTAATGCCGTTTCCAACGCCCGAAATAACACGGCCGATGACGAACTGACCGAGACCCCACTTATCGCCAAAGGCAGCCGTCGAAATCACGGCACCGACCAACAGAACAATGGAACCAGCAAGGATCAACCGAGTGCGGCCAATCTTGTCACCGTAGAACATTGAGAACAGGGCGCCGAAGAAACAGCCAATCTCGTAACAGGCCGTGACAGCACCGCGGAGGACGTTTACGTGTCGGTCTTCCGAGTCCGTAGGATTCTCGGGCATGGCGAGGGCGCCAAATGACTTCGTAAACTCGTCGCCAGCGATGATGCCTGACATCATACCCTGATTGTAGCCAAAGAGCGAGAATCCCATGACGGCCGCGAAGGTAATAGACACCCGGAGCACCCGCCCCGACATGCCGCATGTTGTTGTCCACATCTTGACGGTATGAGGACAAAGAAGGAAATCAGGAAATCAGGGACAAAGAAGGGATTCAAGGAAAAGATGGAATTCAAGGAAAAGATGGAATCAAGAAAGCATTGGGGGGAAAGAGTGAGTATAAAGTACTCCGGAGGATGGAGTAATAAGTATTCTCATATATTCTCCATATCACCTAGGACTCGGCCCTGTCCTGGCCGGATCCAAGCCAGGTACGGTTTGTTCTCGTCCCTGATCCACAAAATATGGGGAAGGAAATCAGGGACAAAGAAGGTTCAAGAAAGCACCCCGGGGAAAGAACGAGAGTGTGAAGTACTCCGGTGGATGGATTAATCGGCATTCTCATATATTCTCCATATCCACCCAGGACTCGACGCTGTCTTGGCCGGACCCAGGCTGAGTACGGTTTGTTCTCGTCGCTGCTCCACAGAATATGGGTAATGTACCAGGCTGAAAACAGTTCGCCGAGGGTCCTTCTCCGGGTATGACGTCGATCAGGCGTCTACCTCAGGGACGCATGCCGGCTACATGAAGAAGCACTCGGGATTCTTACCTCATCCGTCATCATGACGACATGCCAGGAAGCTTTGAAACATTGGGAGTGGATGCGAGGAAAAAGTCTCTACCGAAAGCCATACCGGCTTGCCACTTGACGGACCGGTGGCGGGATAGCGCCGAGAAAACGCTGGACCGGAGGGGAAGAAGCACTGGGGCGCTCGACCCTGAGACGAACCATGGTTGCTTGTTTTTGGCGCTAAAAGGACGCCAGGGACTCCCCTGCGCCCACCCCCACTTGAGCACACTGTGTTCGAACGAGGTTGGTGTCACCTTTGATTGTTAGTATGGAATAGAAACACTGAAATCAAGACGTACCAACGACGAAAATGATAGGGAACCGACAAGCCCTCTTTTGAAATCTGGGCTTGCCTCATATTGGCCAACAATTCCTTCCGATCTTTGACCCCAAGGCCCTGAAATTCTTCCATATTCTCGTATTGAAATGCCTGTACGATGCACCCTATTTCGTCCCATCTCTTTCATCCATCGACCTTCCGGTGTCCTTTGCTCCTCGCAGTCCGGCCAGGCGTTCCAAGTCTCGTCCGCATATTCCGGACTACGCGGCTTTACCAAATCCGATGTACCGGAAAGCAAATCGTTCAAGCTTATGTTTGCGCTCTAACTGGTTGGTTCCAGGATGGCGATTGGCGAATGTGTCGCCTACCTTTAGGGATGCCAGCAAATGTTGGGATGTCTCCTACCACTGATTCCCCTAGATCATGGACTAACCCAATGAACATGCATCTTGCTCGGCCAAGAGGTGGGTATATACGTCAATAAGGAAAAGTCGGACGGAAATATACCACGCACTGGCGCAAATCTGCCTGTGAGTGCCAATCCGAAGCTATGGCTGCCAACACTCCGGATTCGAGATTGTTCTCGACCACCCTGTCCGCGGGATATGTTTCGGTTTCCCAAATAGAAAGAGAATCGGGAGTGGCGATCTATCCAACGGGCCGAGATTGTGACCGCCTTCCATGATGTACTCGAAAATTTGACACATTGGAATGAGATTGGAGGTGTAGGGAATCAACCATCCCACATGCACATGGGATCGGGTGATCACTTCCTGATTGGGGCTAGCTCCACCAGGGAGTGATACCAATACCCACAGATCCCACCACCCAGATAGCTTCCTGGTCAATCAATCCCATTAAAATACACCACTTCTAAAAGGAGGAGGTACATGAGAGAATCTACGTGAGTTAGGATCTCCCTCCTTCAAACCACTGGTGACCTTGTACAAAATTCCGGGGAGCTTCTCCGCATGGCTCTGAACTGACTCCAATATGCAGAGATATGCAGCCCCGCTCTGGCGAGTGATGGCGCACTATTCTTTTCTAACTGAATATCGCAATTTCCGCCCCCTTCTTGGTAAGGATTCAAATTTTAAACAAATGGTTCCAATATTCAAGGATTGGAATATCAACAAACTGATACGTTTGGCTCACAGCAGGTTAGCGACGGATGTACTCTGTAGAAGCGGATCAATTAGCGGGGTGGTTGGTTCCCCAATTCTAGCATTCAGGGGTAAATCTGGAGGCCAGGTAAATATTTCCCGACTGAGTCGGGCATTCAATTGGAAATATCAAAACCGCATTTCTATTGCACTCCTTCCTAACTGATTTCACTATTACACGGGTCTTCAATCCCCTACTCAGTTCATATTTTGTCCAGTACCCACCTTCTGTACCTTTAACCGCTTACCACTGGAAGTGTCTTGCCACGTGAGTAACCTTCATGTCTTCTGACCAGCCTCCAATACTGGAAGCCAAAGGAAATCCAGCGCAAGGGCTAGTCGAACGAATTGCCATGAACTAGAAAGGCGAATTCCTCTCCGGTGGAATCTTAGGTATCATAGAGCGTCTCCCATCCGGCGATATCATTGAATCGCCATGGCCAAGCAGCAGAGAAGGGGACTGCCGACGAGATCTCACCATAGAAATTGCCATCTACAGGGTGTTATCCCCTCACCCCCGTTTGGTAAAGCTGGTCAATTGGGACCTAGAAACTTGTGTTTTGACGCTGGAGTGTATGCCTCATGGTTGCCTCAGCTCCGCCCGAGTGCACATGGCGAAACCATCACTCTCCCACTGCGGCTACGCTGGATCCAAGAAGCTGTGGAAGGGTTACAGTTATTGCATTCTGCAAACGTTATCCATTGTGACGTAGAGCCAAAGAATTTCCTGGTAGAGGAGGGCCTTGGCCTTCGAATTTCTGACTTTGCCGGCTCTTCTCTAAACGGTTCTCAAGCCCCAGCATGTGCTAGAGCACGATTTGAACCGCTGAACTTCGACTATAATTCTCCAGAGACTTAAGGACGATCTATTCAACCTCGGGAGTGCAGTATATAATATCCTCACCGGAGACCGACCCTATCAGGTGGTGCCGAGGTACGAAATGGAGAGAGTATAACAGGCATGAATTTCCAGATGTGTCAGAGCTACCGTGTGGAAAGATAGTTAAGAGATGTTGGCTTGGTGAGGTTGATTCTGCTCAAGAAATAGTTGACTATATTGCGTCCTAGTGTTCCTTGCGTTGCTCCTCGGTTTGGTGGTTATTGACATTTTGCCTGCATGGTCGTGGGTAGCCGTTAGGCATCCTGTCACTGAGCTCTGGTTCAAATAGTGACGAAGAGTATGCTCTTATTGTTACATAGGGGCCGAAAGGTGTGCTTGGGCAGACGTTCTAGAAGTAGTTGATCCAAGACTGGCTAGGTGGTCAAAATCAAACAGATGGACAGTGACAAGCTTCAGGGACTTGGATCACTCCAACGATTCTGATATGGTATCCATATGGATTCCCGAAGTACACCCGCACTCACACAAAATTGTATACAAATCATTGTCATTTTACAATAAGTCATCTGAAAATGGTTTTAACGCGAAATCAAGCTCGAAAATATGCTACACAGCCAGAAAACCCTAAAGAGCATTGGGATACACCTAAAAAATCCCGTATACGCGGGGCTGTGGGGTTCAATATTATATAGAATCGACGTTATGGGTTTCATCCCTCACGGTCTAAGTCCTCTGTTTTTGAGGCCGAAGGAGTCCCATACCGTACAGGAATGGAGATTATTCGCGAGGAAAACGGAGATCGATTACACTTTGAGCAAGAGAAGGAGCCCCGAGGCCGCTCACTGATTATCACGCCAGAACAGATAGAGAGAATGGAAATGATCCTCGAGGAAGCTTCTGTTGAAGAAAGAGCTATGCCTTAGGACCTTCTTCGGCTTGAAGCTGATATTGACTGCCATTGGACGACTGTTAGGCGCGTTATGGGGTCGAAAGACTACCATAAATGCGTCGCATGTCGTAAAACGTGGATTTCGCGAGATCTAGAAAAAAAACGAGTCCAATGGTGCCAGAGGATGCTCCACGACTATCCCACAGTTCCTGACTGGCAGAGAGTCAGATCCTCCGACGAAGTACACTTCTCACTAGGGCCTCAGGGCAAGCTCCTTATCATTAGGCACCGAGGGGAGCGATACTGTAGGAAATGTATCCAAGAAGTTGGCGAACAGTTCGATACTGATATGAGACGGGTACATGGCTGGGGGGCCGCAGGGAACGACTTCAAAAGCGAGCTCGTAACGTATGATGTTCCTTCTAACTCAAACGGGAAGATGACGCAACGGGTCTACGTCGACGCGATCCTAGAACCGCATATAAAACCTTGGATACAGCGCGGTGACATCTTCGTTTTAGAAGAGGACCAAGACTCTAGTCATGGCCCACCATGGTCATCGAAAAAGGAGAACATCGTACAGAAATGGAAGCGCCAAAATGGGCTACATTCGTACTTCAATTGCGCAGGATCTCCGGATCTCGCGATCATCGAAGACTGTTGGCAGCCTACCAAACAGTACATACGTAAGTTCGCCCATTGGGAGCCCGATGAGACACAGCAGCTCGCTACATACAAATTTGTATTGTGTTTTATGGTCCCAGGCCTGCGGCCTGTTCCCTTGGTTGTGGCTGAAGACGTGGCTGGTGGATTATATCAGAGAAGCAAACAAACATGGTAACACAGCAGTAGGGCATTGGAGAGGAGAGTCGCTATCTCGCGCACAAAGGTGCCGGGAGATTTCTTCTCTCTCTCTCTCTTCAGTTTAGATTAATGGAACTTGGTAATCGCAGACCTTGCGCATCCAGACCGTGTCATTGTGATGGTGCTGGTGAAGTCTGTGACAGTCTTGGGCTTTGCCCAGTCTGTGTGTTGTGGCCTTGCGGCCTAAGGCAGAAGGGATGGGTAGACCGTTTGCCCACAGATGTAAATAGCAGATCGCAGTGAGAGATCTTCTCCTTCTCTCTTTAGCAATTCAACAGCGTTACCAGCTTACCAAATCCTTCGTGGTTTGGGCCCACGACAATGAGGCTAAATCCGATTGGGTATGGGGCTAACTCCGAGTGACCAAAGCGGTTAAGGCCGCCCAAGTAGTACTGTTAGATGGACACTAGGGACTTCAGTCAACAGGTGAAAAAATAAAAGCTGACTTATTACTGGACCTACCTCCGAGTAACAAAGCTGATAACAGTGGCCTCGTAACAATACCTGTTGAATGAACAAAGAGATCTTGGTAGTGGAAACTCATTGTAGGTCGGAGAGCTCTTAGACGAGTCTAACGCCTATCTCCGAGGGAGTTTATAAATCTGACCACGAAATACTGCTAGATCTCTATGCGCTGCGGATGGTCCAAGTACACCGTACGCGAGAATCGATGGAAGTGTCTTCGGTTGTAGAGGAGATCCGAGTCTACCTAGATTGCGTTCTTGAGGTACGGCAAGCATTCCCTGGCCCTGCACACTACACAGCAACACGTCGAGTAGGTTCGTAATAATCCAATCTTTGAAGAAATCATGGACTGCATTGGTAAGTTGCACTGCATGAAATATATGAGATGGCTCCTACTGACACGGTCTGGATGCGCAAGATCTGCGATTACCAAGTTCCATTAATCTAAACTGAAGAGAGAGAGAAATGAAATCTCCCGGCACCTTTGTGCGCGAGATAGCGACTCTCCTCTCCAATGCCGTAGCTAATGCTGTGTTACCATGTTTGTTTGCTTCTCTGATATAATCCACCAGCCACGTCTTCAGCCACAACCAAGGGAACAGGCCGCAGGCCTGGGACCATATCACCTACCTTCTTATTCCCCTTGAATTGTATGGAGTCCTCCCCCATTGTGCTAGAGATTGAGCCTCTGTGGATATTCCAATCTCAACAGGCACGAAACTATAGATGACCTCCCCTTAGAAAGCCCTACTACGAAGTTATATAGTAGATCTAGACATAGGAGTTTAGAAATCAAATTTGATGATGTAGATCCCGCTCCCGCATAACTACTAAAGATCGACTTGTTGGGTTTACCCCGCAATGAGTCGTCCTTGCTCTGCTTGCACCATTCAGCAGTTTAACTGGCCATTTAGGTTACTACAAGATGACGCGGAGTAAGAGCTGAGGAGCCACACCACCCACTCTGCTGTGAGACTGACTTTATGGATATGCAATGTCTAGGACTGGTTTTATTGATGGGAATTCCTTGTATTGACATGTCGTGTTCATGCAACAATAGATAATTTGTCATCCAAGAAGCAAGCCATAAGAGCTGAAAACTTACTTGATTCATCGCCAAGTTGATTCATGTTTATTTCTCGCAGTTGCTCCTATCTAGCACATCAAGTCTGTCATTGCCGTCAGAGTTCTCGATTCCTACGGCCGTTATCAACTATGGATTTCCCACAGAACGAGATTCGGCTTCTGGTAGCTAATAAGCCTACTTTCTACGTGAAACTAGACGTTGAGTCGGCCAAGAAAGCCGATGAACTGTTGGAGGACAACCACCGAAGCAATCACATCTTTTTCAACAATGAAGGGTTCCATGTACGTGGATAGATTCAGTTTCCAGTGAAAGGCTGCTGTTGCGAATGAACCAGACTTATCGATTGACCTTGCTAACCTCATCTAGAACCACATCGTACATCATATCCTTTCTCTCTATGCGCTAGGAGCCAGTCCTGCGGCGCTTGAGTCTCACTATGCTCACAACAAGGCATATCAACGCCCTCCATTCAAGGTTGAGGAGCGCGTCGTCCAAGATATGTCGGAACCAGAACAATTTATACAATTTCTGGGACAAGAGAAGTATTACCATGACTTCGTGGTATTCTTCGAGAAGGAGATGGAGAAGAAAGGCTGGCAGCAAGTTCTTCAGGACTACCTTTTTTCAGAGGACGAGAGAAGCCAGCAACTTCTGGTGCGGACGTTCGCAGGTCAGTTTTTCCCTGCCATGCGCTGCAACGCTGACTTTACAGGTTTCATACATCCACTGATTCATCTAGGATTTGGCATTGAATTTGGTCAACCGGTCATCATTGCTGAGGCTCTAGCACAAGCTGCAGTTCACGACGAATGGATCGGGAAATACCTCCTACCAGCAGAAAAGGCTGCCAAAGTGAATCCGAAACCGAAATCGTTGTTCCAGTTGCTCCAGGATACATATAGCGACAAGAAGATTCAGGATTCTACAAGATGGAAAGACCCAAACAAGGTTCGAGACGGGATTTTGATACGAGCGCCTGACGAGATGATTGCTCTGGCGAGTCAGTACATTGTGAAGGAAGCTGAACTGGAAGAGAAGACAGCGGAGATGATCAACATAACCGGTATGCCGTTTGAATGTTTGAATACTTCACAGGCGCGACTGACTCTACCAGCCTACTTCACCGGCGCTGCCCAACGTCCTCCTCATACCGAAAAGGTCGATTTCTTCCTCATGCACTCCCTGAATTCGTCCATTTTCTTTTCGGCATTCCTCAAAGCAGATTGGCTCGCTACTGCGCATAAGATCCGTCTCCTTGAATGGAAAGGTCGAATGGATCTCGCATTGTATGCGAGTCGTGGAAATGCCAGGCTCGACATCCGGGAGATCTCCGAGTATCGACCCCGTGGGGGATTGTCAAGCAAGCCGGAGCCTGAGCAATGGCAATCCTGCTTTGATGCGGCAGTGCGTTTCGAAGACGATGGCCACTTCTGCAAGCTTATCCGAGCGATTGCTAACGGCAAGGCTGCTTGCGAGAAATTCCAGGATGGCAAGGATTTCCCGATCAAGTCCGACATGTGGATCAAGTTGGCTCAACTAGCCACTGACTCTGTCTCCGTTGATGGCCCCACCTGGGTTCGGGGTGCCGGATTCGCTGATGCATGGAAGGATGTTCCTCTGCGAGAAATCGGTCGGTTGTAGGGTTGTATGGAGTGGGTGGCGTATGATTCTACTTCGATCAGCGTCAGAATGAGACGATACCTATAACTATTGTTCAAACCTACTTTGTTTGTCTCGGGATTTCGGTCTCTTCTTTTCAGTCTTTCATTCTCTGCGTCTCCCTGATCTTTATGACATATTGATACAGAGATTCGATGACAGCTTCAGACAGGAACTATTTGTATCCCATCATGGTGGCCCACCAATCTTGCAGGCCAAGGAGACTCATTTGCCCCGCGAATTCGTGAATCGAGCCATATTCATAGATCCCTCTAGTGGGACTTTGAAGCCGATCAATTTTGCTTCCCTGAATTTCTACGGGAACAGGAGCTGGTCTAGCAACCATATGGAAGTCCTTATATCGAAGATGCTTGTTGCAAACAAATCAGCTCCTTCGTCCACATTTCAAGGTCATTGCAAAATGCATGCCATACACACTTAAGAAGTTCCAACCTGCTCAAATGGCAGAAAGCTTGACTCAACGAGAAATAACGATGACTTTCTGGCTTGACACACGTAGAAAACTAATGTCGAGACGCGAAGAGGAAGAAAATACTCGTTCATTAAGGGACGACGATCAGGAGACATGCGGAAGGAGAGAAAATACCTCGACAACTGATACCCACGCGTTAACACTTGACTCCATACCCTCACAATACATCAATCCTGGAGAAGCGCCAGAACGAAGGAGAACCAGGCAGGAATGCTTTCGAGCTGCCTTTGTAAGTACGGATACCTTTCGACGGGAGGTGATATGGTGGGTCCGTATCAAAGCGTGGTATAATTCGGAAGACATCGGATTGATAAAGATCGGTAGATTTGAGACCTCCTTTCAAGAATAAAGTGAGCGACGTATGGAGCAAAGGAGAAACAATTGTAGAAAGTCCCTTGGTGGTCATATACCATAGAGCGCACGCACTGCGCAGTGGCCCAACGCTGAACCTCAAAGAAGAGGTGGTGGAGTTGTTCTCGGCGGGGCATCATCACTCAATCATCTATGGTATATCGACCGCAATATTCCATCTCATAAATACCATTCTGATGCTCCTTCAGCTCGATTCCACAACAGACATGAAAAGGTCATCGCCGGAAGTAAATCCACGCATGAAATAAACCTCAGCAGTACGTGTGCTTGAAGTCGATAAAACCAAGCAACAGCGAGGTTGGCCGAACGTGAACACCTTTGCGCTACATCCGAACACTACCCTCACACGTTGAGTTGCCTTCGCTTCGCATTTCATCTGGAACGGTACCCATAGCATTTCTCGGCTTCAAATCTCAAAGACCATGGACCAAGCTGCTAAAGGAGCTACAGCTCTCGAAGCTGGCAAGTTTGCTGAAGCGATCAAGCTATACTCTGCAGCGATTGCTGTCAATCCCAACGCAGTTGACTACTACATTAAACGTTCTACAGCCCTCCAGCGATCATCACCTCCCGACTACTCTGCGGCTCTCAATGACGCCGAACATGCCATAATCCTAGCGATTAAACGGGCTCGAAAAGAACTCATCGCGCAAGCCCAATTACGCCGTGCGATCGTCCTGTTTGGATTGGAACGGTATGCCGATACCGAATTCGTCCTTGGAATCGTCAAACGCTTGGATCCAAAGGATAAGCTTCTCGCAATTTGGGAGATGAAGTTGGCACCAAAACTCAGAGACCTACCGGCAGACGATCTCCGAGCAAAGCGGACGGTGGAAGAGATTCCTTCACCTCAACAGCCTACGCAATCCACTCAGCCCGAAAGCAAATCATCCACTCTGCAGACGCCACAAGCGGAACAGAAAGATTCACAAGCGCATGCTCCTGCTGCCAAGATCCGACACGATTGGTATCAGAGTTCGGACACAGTTTACTTTACATTACTTGCGAAGGGCGTTCCGAACGACCAAGCACAGGTGGAGATATCGGAGCAATCTGTAGGTCTCCCATTGCTTGGCTGAATAGCGCCCGTCTGACTCTTATAGATCTCTATCTCATTCCCGACGATCACGGGCGCCACCTTTGAATACACTCTGGACCCACTCTTCGCGTTCATATCACCTGCATCGTCGTCCTACAATATCACTCCGTCCAAAGTCGAACTCACGCTCAAGAAGTCGTTTCCCGGCCAAAAATGGCCCTCCCTTGACGGTTCTGCTACAGATGCCGCACCGATAACTAGTTCGTCTACGCAAAATCCCGTCCGACAGCCCGTCGTATCCGACAAACCTCCTTCATACCCCTCATCATCCAAGCACGGCCCCAAGGATTGGGATCAGTTGTTCTCCAAGCGCGGGAAGCAGCAGGACGGTGTTTCGGGAGACAATGAACTAGTGGACAAGTCGAGTAAGAAAGGAGACACCAAGAGTGATGACACATTCGATGTCGACAGCGATGACGAGGGAGATGATATCAACAAATTCTTCAAACACTTGTACAAAGGTGCAGATCCTGACGTTCGGAGGGCGATGGTGAAAAGCTACCAGGAAAGCAATGGGACGGCGTTGAGCACCAACTGGGGTGAGGTTGGGAAAGGTCAAGTGGAGACCCTCCCACCGGAGGGAATGGAGGCAAAGAAATGGAATGAATAGTTGAGATGTTGGGGTTTCCAGACTTCACATCATGAGATTGTTTTCGTTGGTTTGATAATAATATGCTTGGGTGCTTGGGTAGCACCTAAGTAACGATAGAGCGATATCCCAAATGGATTTAAAATCCCTACCATGAATTCCAGGGATCAACAAGTTGTTCTGAGGCCTTCGTCCTAATTTATTCTAGATGGTGAGAATGAGGTATGAAGGGCAGTTCAACTCCCAATCTGGTGCTTGTCTCTCACATCTCTCATACACGATAGATTACGCCCACACCCTTTTCTGGTTGTCAAACAGTTGTGTGGGCCCCGAATTCCGTGAAAAGAACTAATACGGTTTCAAGCTGTGCTCTTCATTTTGTTTTCAAATGCACCAGGCCAAAAATTCTCGCCTTTGTACTCGACCTCGGTGTTGTAACTCAAGACGGATTCAAGCAGCATTGGAGAATATTACAATCCGAAGATAACAGAAAGAGCTACGTCAAAGGGAAGCTGTTTAGCTCGATTTGCTTTCTGCACGCAAGTGTATCGATTCAGCCAACCAAAAGCCCAAACCGAATCGTCAAATACATATCCAACCCATTTCTCCAGCTGTCGGGATCGAGACAAAATGCCTGGACGCCTGCCAAAGAAGGAGGATTTCCCATCTTCGATGGTGTTCGACATCATCCCTCGTACGTTACTCTTCAAGGTCATCGGCTCCACTAATCGAAAGCAGCCCCAGGAAATCACCCTCCTACGAACGTTCTCATCCTTCTTCATGGCCTTGGAGATACCTATACTCCATTTACCAAACTAGCCCAAGCAATACAGTTACCGGACTCGGTTTGCATCTCTCTCCGTGCCCCTTCCGTCTTACCCTTTGACGAGGGGCGCTTTCACTGGGCGGACGATCTCATTCTCAATGAGGCTACAGGGAACCTAGATATGGATGGAGGGTTCAAGGCGGCGACCAAATCATTGCTGGACATGATCCGGAACATCCTCATGGACAAGTGCGGATACATTGCAAGAGAAGTGGCATTGTGGGGATATGGGCAAGGCGGATGTGCTGCTCTGGCTTGTGCTACGGGTTTGGACGATGATGAAGAGTTGTGTGCAATCATCAGTATTGGAGGACCTTTTCCCGATAGTGTCGTCAAACCTATTAAGGGAGAGGCAAAAGATATAACGACAAGAAAGCTCCAGACCCCCATCTTGGTATGCCATGGCAACAAGTCGTCGAATGTCACAGACGCCAGCATTGAACGGTGCCGGAATAACTTTGAGCACGTCAAAGTTGTCACCTGGGCGCGAGAGGGAGACTCTATGCCGAAGAATAGGGAGGAAATGCTTCCAATTATGATATTCCTTTCACAAAGACTCAAAAGCTTACGAGGAGTGCCTGCTGGGGCAGTTGAGATTGGTGCGAGATAGGTTACTTTTGTATCATGGCTGGAGCTAGCAGGAGAATAACGATAATGATATGCGATCCCAAGGACTACTTGTAGCTCGCCGTAATCCTAGGATTTAGATGTCTGCATCCAGGTTCTGATCGATGCCAGAAGGTGCTCGTGACTTCGTATCAACACAGACGAGCGCGAGGGTCCAGTCAGGAGATCCTGCCCCACCTAATTAACGGATTATTCCCACGTCATCAACTCACGCTTCTCTTCCTCAACCGGACAGAACATCCTCCAGTGAACTCATTCGAATAGATCGCTTATTCTATGTAAACATGGAATCCGCTCCATAAGTCGACATCACGACACTATGGCACCCTCGAAAGATTCCAATTCAAAAGATGAATCCACGTCGAATTGCACAAATCCATACGACCCATTTCGGGCCCTGAAAGGCTTCGTCAATTCCCAAATCCAGCTGATCACGGATATGACGGATCAATTTACTTCGAGCATCGACAAGGCAGAAGATTTACACCGAAAGCTCCGTGATCATGTTCGAGATGTGAAATCCGAATTGAACGATGGACCTGATGGGCCAGACAAGTCGACTCGACCAGAACGAGAGACACCATCCTCGCGATCGCAAGATTGGTGGCAAGAGATGTCGGCTTTCTTGGAGGAGGGTCGCAAGAAGGCACAAGAGGTCTATTCACTCCTTGAGAATGATTCGCGCAACGAAACATCCGAGTCGAGTCATGGCGACAGTCAGCTGAATCCAATCGAAACCTTATTGCGAGCCATAGAACACGAAGCAGAACGGTTTGAAAGAGCTATGGAATCCCATGGGGGCTTACGTGGGAGAGTACTGTACATAAACGAAGATATCGGGGCTTTCACTTCCACAGACTTTCTCTGGCAGAAGCTTTACGATCCGATGTCGCTTTCAATGATGCCGCCATTGACCCACGTTGATTGGAATAGAGCTTTTGAGGATCTCCGACTTGCCAGTCAAGGATCTCATATGACAGCTCACTCTCAATGGAAAGCATCGAACCGCGAGCAAAAGGCTGATTGGGACTCAAAGCGCCAGCTATGGGAAGAAGTTCAGGCGGGGAGCCAGCTCGCAAGAGAAGAATTATTCGAACCATTTGGGCTGTACAGACGGATTCGGGACACATTAGGTGATGTCTTTCATGAGAACCGGCCGGCGGAAGATTCATCATCCACATTGGATCCTGAAACGGAACTTGATATGTTTGATCGATTCCAAAAACAAGAAGATTACTCCCCTGATCAATCGACGGATGCTCGCGGAAGAATCATTCGAACTGTACACAGGGAGGAGGAACGTGTGTTCCCGGATGGGCATGTCGAGAAAAGATCTACCAAAAGTAAGATCTACGAGGATGGAAGTGAGGATGTTTCGGAGAACGTCGATGACAATGGAAGTCGCAGTACACAGGACAATCATGTGAATTCCAACAAGAGACTGGAAGAGGCGACGGGTAGGACATCGGGCAATGAACTCCAGCAAACCGATCAATCGAGTGACGAGTCCAGCAGCTGGTTCTGGAAGTAAATTGGCACAGGATAAATCATCTTCTCCACTCAATATCGGCCGTCTTTGACGCATTGTACGTTCATGCTCTGTGGTGTTGATGTCAAGGACTTTCTTCGTTCGAATCCGCTAGTCCCAGGCAGAATACTATCGGTTCCAGGACAAAATTACTACAGGAACTGGACTCCATATAAGCAAGACGATAGAGCCATCAATAGCGATGCTTCTTTGAGCTCTATCAATGGCCATTCTATCTTCTACTTGCAGGCAGTAGTTATAGAGTTCTTAGACTTATGGAGATGTCAAATCCCCCTTGTGGTATCGGATAACCCAGATTCCAGTTTCGTGAATCCATTAAAGATAACTTACACTATCTTGCTAGTTTCGTATAACTATATTTCTTTTCTTTTCTTTTTTTCACATCTAGATTTTGGGAGTGTTGTGAAACCGTAGCCCGCCTGTGGCTAGCCGCCTGTGGCTTGCCAATTCTTTGCAAACTCTTCTGCGACGTGCACTGTATCATCCTTCCATGATTCCATCCTCGACAGTCATCGACAGAGTTCGCGCCGTGTTGGAATTCCATCTCCTAATGTCAAGTCAAATTTATTTAAGCAGTCCAATTTTGGATACGGAGACCTTTACGCATTGCGAAGTCCAAAACGCTTTGTGGAGACTGAAGGCATTGATATACAACTCAACTTCCTTGCTGGAGGTCCTATTCAAGCCATGCCACAGTTCTGATACATTGCAGTAACACACTGAAGAGATGGATGATCATCTGGAAATAGGGTGTTCGAAATCAGTATAAAAACATGATGGTATCGACCTTTCTGCTCTGATCAACAGATCATCAGTTCACATCAATACATGTCCCGATACAACCATGACCAAACTTCCTCGTCTTACAACTGTGTTTTTCATCCTCCTGAATGGTATGTTATCCATTTTTATCGGCAATAGGTTGCGAAAACTAACGACATAATCCCTAGTGTCACTGATATCAGCCCAAAGGCACACAGTTCATCACTGGGCCATGTTCAAATGAAACCGACTGCGCCTCGGCATGCTGTGGTTTTCGATGCGGCAAATGTTCTGGCCCAATTGTTGCCCAAGAACGAGATGGCGGGTGCGGCTTTGGAGATGCAACACCAAATGATCGAGCTGCCCAACTACTTCGAGGCGGAAGCCCGCAAGGAGGAGCGGTTCCTGCGTCAACCATGATTACCCAACTGGCTCCAAATGGAACTGATGATGTCGCTGCCGCCGCAACTCCAGCCGTTGTCACAACCCCAGCCTTTGTCGCAACTCCAGCCGTTGTCGCAACTCCAGCCGTTCTCGAAACCCCAGCCGTTGTCGAAACCCCAGCCGCCGGTGTAGAGAACGGACCGGGGAAGCAATTCATCACCGGACCTTGCACAAGCGACGCAGATTGTGCTTCCAGATGCTGCGGATTCGACACTGGCAAATGTGCACGGCCTATCGTTGCCCAAGAGAGAGATGGGGGGTTGTGGCTTTCGCAATGCAACCCCAAATGATGATGCTGCAGCGGCCCTCCGTAGCTGATCTTCATAATTTCTTCTGGGGTGGAAGTTGGAACAAAAATGCTGTGCATTATCGCCCCGTCGAAGTCGATTGTGGCAATTTACTGTTGCCGGATCTTTCTTATGATCGGGTATAGATTGAAATTCAAGCTAGCAGTCAAAATATTGTCCTCATTGAGCCATTAATCAAGCCGTTTCAGATAGACCGTTCGATTAATTTGGAATGGCGTTCCCTGCACCTGCTTTGACAGATCAATGCATTGCATACGAATTCTTCGAAAGGCATGAAACAGCTGTATATTAGTGAAGAGAGGATAAATATCCGGATGCACAAAAGTAACTATTGTCTTCCAGTGGGCTGCACAGTACATTGAAAACCGGCACATTTCGTGACTTCGGATCCCTAGGAAAGTATATTCGTATACATTCGTATGTGTTCCTCGTTGGCCACTGTGTTGCTACTTGGCAGTTCACAAATATTGCCGTTCCACTCCGATATTATACCTACATAATTGATGGACCCATCATCTGCTATATACCAACGTAGGAAGACAAAAATTTGTGAAATGGAACATATATGGCTGTGCTCGGCCACACCATGAACTCCATGTTGTAGAAGGCTAACCCACGAAAACGAAGATGCTGTGGAGTACAAGATCGCTTGTGGCACTCGCTGCCAGTTTCACGACATTTGTACAGTCGTGTCCCGCTTGGACGGTTGGTCAAGAAGTCGAAACAACCAGTGGAAAGGTCAAAGGCATCGAATCGCCCTGGCCAGCCAATTCTAAGGTATCGGCATATCTTGGGATTCAGTATGCAGAACATCCAGAGGGACAGTTGCGGTTCGCGGCTCCAAAACGTTTCTACGGAAATGGATCTATCCCAGGAGACAAATTTGTCGGTTACTGTTTCCCATTCAATCATCCGAAGCTAACGAGCCATAGTCCGAGTAGGTCTCCATCAGTCAACAGGGGCGACACCACTGATTCATAAAGCGATTGCCTTCAAGGAGCAGGGGATGTTGGCTCAGCCAGCGGGACTTCAGCACTTGCGGCATATGGGGAAGGAATGGGAGGGGGGGCAGACCATGTCTACAGCGAAAAATGCCTTAGTGTCAACGTTTGGACAAAACCGCAAACCGGCGAAGCAAAAAAAGCGGTCCTTGTGTGGATATACGGAGGAGGTTCGTTAGCATAAAATCTCACGCATGTTAGGCTTACATTTAGTAGGGTTTTCCGCTGGGACTTCCAATGCACCATTCTATGATGGCGGTAAACTAGCCGCGGAAGAGGATGTTGTAGTCGTGAGCCTGAAGTGAGTTAAAAAAATTTCAAACCTCCATCACACTAACCGTGGATAGTTATCGCACCAATCTTTTCGGTTTCCCTGGTGCTCCTGGAATTCCCGAGCAGAACTTTGGACTTCTCGACCAACGAGTGGCTGTAGAATGGACACGAGACAACATCGCTGCGTTTGGCGGAGATCCTAATCGTATCACCCTCTTTGGAGAGTCGGCTGGTGGATCTTCGGTTGACATGTATGCCTATGCTTGGACGAAAGACCCTATTGTATCCGGCTTCATTGCTCAATCTGGGACCGCTGGAATCCTACAATCGACTGGTAACGTCTCCTCAGCATGGTACCAGATCTCGAGAAGTGTTGGATGCGGAGGGGTTGAAGCCGGAAATGCAACCGTCGACTGTATGCGTCAGGTGGACTCCGCAAAACTGATGGATGCCCTTGGTAATATCTCAACTGGAACCGGTATTGCTGGCGTAACGTCATTTGGTCCCATGCCGGATGAAAAGGTTGTCTTCAGAAATTATACCACCCGAGGACAAGCAGGAAACTTCATCAAAAAAGTGAGAACGACAATCTCCGAAATCATTGCATGAGCTAACACGCTGAAAGCCACTAATTGTAGGAAATACCGATAATGAAGGGGGCCTCTTCACATACATGGCATCTGCGGCAGCCGGCACGTCCAATTCCAGTGGATCCGGAGGTCTGAGTCTTCCTACACTCCCTGGGGGCTTTAATCCCATTGACTTGGTCTTGTCTTGTCCGTCGGGGCCAGCGGCGTTGGTTCGTGTGCAGAACAAGGTTCCAGTTTGGAGGTTTCGGTATATGGGAGTCTGGCCGAATACAGCCCTCTCTCCAGATACAGGTGCCTATCATTCGAGTGACGTGCCGATGGTCTTTGGAGCAACCGATCGTAAAAGAGGAGCTTCACCCAATACACCTGAACAAGAGGCAACCTCAAAATTCATCAGGCACGCCTGGGCAACATTTGCCAAAGACCCTGCAGCGGGTCTTCTCGGGCTCGACTGGCCGACATATGAGCCCGCCAGTAAGTTGATTATCATGCGTGTAGATCCAACGCTGACCCTTACTCCAGAGGATACATTGCTCCGGATTGGATATAATAATCAATCTACTTTGAACTTGGCCAAAGGCGACACATATGACGCTGGTTGCAACCTGCTTGGTGATTTGGGTGCTGGTCTCCCTGGAAGGAGACGAAGGCGCGTTTGAACTTGGAACTGAATTGAATGAGACAAGGCAAATGATGCTTGCAGTTGACATGAAAGAGCGTCCGTCAAGAACGTTTGATCATATGGCGGATCCAATGATCCATTTTGGAACAACCTTCAACTTTTGAACGTGACAATGTGACACAGCGCAATCGAGAGTAACACAAACAAGGACAAGGCTGAGGGCAATCGAATGAATGATGGATCTATCGCAAGGGTTTGACTCCAAATTCCAGAATGATATTATTCCGTACGTCCGTAAGGATGGTGTTAACGCTCGTACAACAATTCCCAGACGGGGAATCAGGGGGTGGAAGAAAGCTATTCCGACTCCGGCCATATGTATACATATCTCTGTGCGTGCCCTGTATGGACGTTGATCTAATGATTGCGACAACTAAAATCGGACCTTCTCACCTCACAGGGTCAACTTTCTCCCCTGCAAATGTCTAGAATAAAAATACGGCCGAGGGTCATAAATGGACCCAAGGGATGCGCAGCGTAGGGAGCAGAACCTCCCAAGTTTTAACAGCATAATTACCCAGTCACAGTTTGCTGATGAAGTCCTGAACCTTTGCGGCCAATCACAGCGACTTTTGATCTGACCGTGTGCTTGATTCATTCATCTGTGTATCTTGTATCATCATTGCCCTTGGGCGAACAGAGTCAAGCACACGCGCTTATTAGTACTGGTTTCATCGGTAGCTAAACCACTTATAATGAAATAAACAGCAGATGATATACTAAAGTACTAAGCCACAAGTCTGGTCAGCCACACATCACCACTTTCATCTCAGCTGAATACTACCATCTCTTAATCATCAACATGACCATCAAAATGAGGTCTTTCGGTAATGAAATTAGTGCCAATCGACGCAGAAACGACGATTGACAGATATTCAAAGATGTGATGGATCAGAGGTCCGCAGACCTGGATGCCTTGTGGCCTTGTGGCCCGTTTGCTCTGTAAACACCAGAACAGATAAACACCTCGCACACCTTAGATAGATTCCTCCTTCATAGCAACAATTCAATGTTTGCCTCACGATTGGAGATTCCCGACAGTGAGACTCTTACACTTTGTTGCTATCTTCTCTATGAGTGTTTACTCATTCGGAATATATTGATTGATTAAGAATCATTGAAATCAGCAGTTGAGCACTCTGATTAGTCACGCTGTGACTAGGACCCATCGAAAGAAAGACCCATAAAGAACCGGAATTGCCGAACCGACAAATCAAGATGTCAGAACCCCATCGATCCTTGTCAGCGTACAGATCGGATGAACACGAGTCGGAATTCGAGCCGCAGGCTCAGCAAGAGATACAAGATGTGGCCGACACTCCGCAGATGAAACACGCGGGAGTATACCTAGAAGACAGGCGGCAAGAGATCCGTCAAGGGAAAAAGCCTATTGAAGCAGGCACTGAGAGAAAGATCCTGAAGTTGGATCCGAAGAACCACTACTACCTTCGATTTGAAGAATCCGTAGTCCTCGATGCTGGAGGTGCGCCAGCGAAGACAGCTTCCGTAGGACTTCGAATCTTCCTTCGAAATCCTCATGGAGGAGACGCCGTTACTAGGCCGGAGCGCCTTGCGACCTTTTACACCGGCGATGCTTTCTTGCGTCACGTTCAAGATGACCTAAAGGGATGGTTTACCCTCGTTCTTCGTGCGGTGAAGAACTACCAAGACGAGCAGGAAACTATCACCGAATTATCAACACTAGTACGAGAAATGCGTGCGACGCCGACCAAGAAAATGATGAAGCCCACTAATGCTTCCCCTATTAAAAGAGAGGAGAAGTATATAGCGATGAATGACAAACTGATCCGTATGCGAGCTTAGAGAGATAAGTATAAGTCTTAGTAGAAAGACCTCTAAGCCGAGATCGCAGAACTTAAAAACAGGGTTAAAAACCTTAAGACCGAAAAGAGCTAGGCAGACCCTACAGAACGACGATATGCTGGCTTCTACGAATCTGAAGAGGAAGATCCCCTAGAGCTGCCTCCACTGAGGCCCCGAGCTCCAGCATCCTCCCCGGCAGTCGTCGAGTCTCGTTACACAACTCCTGGCACCAATGCCTCGATGTCTATCTCTACCAAGAAGCGTGCTGTAAAGCCTTTTCAATTCAAAGGCACCGATGCAGACAAGAAGCTATTTGACAACTGGAAGTTCATGGTTAACCATTGGTTCCGCCTCGACAGTCACCTATATACCACCGAAGAAGCTATAGGCTACGTTGCTTCCTGCACAGGTGAAGACGCATTCAGTGCGATCCGACGACGTGTCGAGTCAGAGGACGAACCATACATGAACGTGAAGGAACTCCTTACCGATCTCGAAGAAGTCTTTAGAATCAAACGTCGCATTGAGAAGGCGAAGAAGAACATCCGCGACCCTAAGTTTCACCAGAAGTACAATGAGACTTTCGACGCGTATTGGCCCAAATTCAACAGTAACTTGTCCGATATCCCACATCTTACCGACGAGGATAAGATCGCCTATCTCCGCGAATGCCTAAAGCGAGGAATGAAATTCGACATGGCCAACTGCCATACTAAAAACTTCAACGACTTCGTCGACGCGTGCCGTATAACGGAAGAGAATACCACCGATGCTCGCAACTACGGAGGACGCCAACGCGTCTCTGACTCACCACGCGGTGGGAGCAGAGGTCGTAAAAGCTACAGCAATGGCCATAGCAACGGCAACAGCAACGGAAATGGCTACAAGAACGGCCACCACAAGAGGTCCAGCAGCGGCAGCAGCCACAGCAATGGCTACAGCAACGGCCATAGCAGCAGCCATAGCAACGGCCATATCTACGGCAACAGCAACTTGTACTGGCCTTACGGCCGGACTAAATCCCAACGAGAGGAATTAAAGGCTGAACGCAGATGTTTCGTTTGCCTTAAGCCAGGTCATATGGCTAACGCAGACGACGCTCCGTGCAAGGGACAGAAACCTACTGAGATGACCGAGAACGTCCTCGCGTACGACACGGGGCAGAAGGCTCCTCACCCGAAGCCCCGAGTGGACGACTACCCCGAGTCATCCGATTCGGAAAACTGAAACCCTCCGGCGATAGTCGCGCCAGACATCCACCCGGCCTTTACAAATGACGAGCTCTGGGCACAGCTTGCGCCCAAATTGATTGAAGAAAAAGATGATTAGGACGACGACCTCATTGTATCATTAGATAGAGCGCTCAGTGGACTTCGCGTGTTTTGAAGGAGGGGGTAGTGTGATGGATCAGAGGTCCGCAGACCTGGATGCCTTGTGGCCTTGTGGCCCGTTTGCTCTGTAAACACCAGAACAGATAAACGCCTCGCACACCTTAGATAGATTCCTCCTTCATAGCAACAATTCAATGTTTGCCTCACGATTGGAGATTCCCGACAGTGAGACTCTTACAGTAGTAAAAACCACTAAGGAAGGGATAAAGAACCTGCAAATCCCACTAGACAAGATGATCCCAAAAGAGAAAATCGACGAGTTCAGTACCCAGCTAGTCTAGATTGTTATAGAGGCGGTCCTTCAAGACACCCCAGTCGCTAGGCTATCGGTATTCTTAAAGAGATGGTGGACAATGAACCTCACAGACCTTAAAAACGCGCATACAAGGGCGAGAAACGAAGCAGCCTTAACGCGAAGAGCAGGAACCCCTAACAACCGCCTAGAAGAGAAAGCCAGGGTAGCTAGGAAAACCTTCCACGATGCGATACGGAGATAACGAAGAACATGCTGGAAGGAATTTCTTAACGACAACAATAATATCTGGAAAGCCGCAAAATACCTTCACCCAGCCCAGTCAAGCGCGTTCGGGAGGATATTAGTCCTTAAGATAAACGAAGGGCTAGCGAAAACAGACTAGGCAATATCAGAGGAACTCCTTATACAGTTCTTCAGCCAACCGGCAGACGCCCTAGAGCTACCCGAAGCTAGAGAAGGACACTAACACCCATAGAAAAAGATTACCAAAGAGGAAGTACGAGAGGCGATCTATAGAGCAAAACCCTCTAAGGCACCAGGACCAGATGGGCTCCTACCAGCGGCCTGGCAGAAACTGTGGCCAGAAGTGGGAGACCACGTATATGTACTCCTGCAAGCGTCAGTCAGAGAATCGTACCTCCCAGAGCAATGGAAGATTGCGCGGATCGTCCCGCTTAGAAAACAAGGTAAACCAGACTACACCCTCGCGAAGGCATATAGGCCTATCTCCTTGCTTTCCACCCTGGGCAAGGCGCTAGAGTCGGTACTCGCAGAACGCTTATCTTTTCTAGACGAAATGCACGGGATACTCCCAAAAGCCTACTACGGAGCAAGAAAGCAGAGATCGACGACCGATGCCCTCCAGCTAGCTATAGAGCAAATCTACTAAGCATGGAAACAGAAGAAGATACTATCGCTAGTTACCTTCGATGTTAAAGGCGCCTTCAACGGAGTCAATAAGGGAGTACTATGCCAAAGACTTAAGGAAAGAGGAATCCCACTAGAGATTACAAGATGGGTGTACGAATTCTGCGGAAATCGGAAGGCATTAATCATGGTTAATGGCACTGAATCAGAAGTTATGGACATCGCCCACGCTGGTTTACCATAAGGGTCGCCACTCTCCCCTATCCTCTTTCTCTTTTATAACGCAAACCTCGTCGTAGGGAAGGTAACAGACCGCTCGGGAACGATGGCTTTTATAGACGACTTCACAGCCTGGGTAATAGGCCCAGACATTAAGAGCAATATCCAGCGAATCCAGGAACAAATCCTACCGAACACCGAAAAGTGGAGCCAGGAAAGCGGTGCGCTGTTCGAACCGGACAAGACCCAACTTATTCACTTCACCAGACGCCGGAAACGGGACGAGAACGAGCTCCTGCCACTGATAGTTATGGATAACGAGATAGCCCCAGCATCAGAGATTAAACTCCTTAGAGTTATACTAGACCAAAAACTTAATTTCTAGAGCCACGCGAGAAGAGCAGCGAAACGAGGGGAAATCGCGGCAATGGCGCTCCAGAGACTTAAGGGACTCAACCCGAAAACAGCGAGACAGATCTTTACGGCAACAGTTACACCGACCACCGACTATGGGGCTTAGATATAGTTCCCAGGATCGGCAGGTACAGTAGCCCACCATATCGAGAGAGCTACTAAACTAGGAGCGAGTGAAATCACGGCTATATTTAGATCGGCAGCGAGCGAGGTCGTAACCGCGGAAGCAGGAGTCGAAACAGTCCAGGAAAGACTCCACGAACTCACCCGGAAACACTGGATCAAGATGTATACAAAACCACAGAATCACCACGGATGGAGACTCATCAAGCGTCTGTTTAAAGCTAAGACACACAGATCCCCACTCGAAGCTACAGCCGAGCTCTTCCAGCACATCAATCTGAAATCGCTTAAGAAGACAGCAGGATTCGTCAAGCCGCCGTGGCAAGACCCGCCAAGAGTCATCATCGAAGAGGAAGCGGCCGCAATAACAAGGGCAGCCCAGCTCGGCCTTAGAACTATCTTTACGGACGGATCATATAGAAACGGCCTTACCGGCATCGGAATTCACGTACTAAATATCCTAGGACTCGAGAAATCTAGTATAATAGGATTTACACCGAGTATAGACGCCCTCTAAGCGGAGCTTATAGCTATTTCCGAAGCCATCTTAGAAGCAACCGCTAAGATCCCGGTAATAGGCTAGAACCTCGACTAATGCTATATCCTATCCGACTACCAGAAGGCCCTAGGCATGATCAAAAGACCACAATGGAAAAAGAGTAAACCCCTCCAGGAGATCTTCTAGAAACTAGCAGAGGCCAAGAAAAGGGGGTTCACCTTTACCTTCCACTGGGTGCCAGCGTACAAGGGAGTGCAAGGTAACGAGAGAGCTCACGACCTCGCCCAATCTGCCACTGCCACCGGATCTGGACAGGAAGAGCATACCATAGTACTAAGACATGCGATTAAGCAAGGAAGGAGCCACCCAGAGGTAAAGAGAAAGGCCTTCCTAGCCAAAAAGACCGTGCGTTTCGCGAAGGAGCTCGACAAAGCACTACCAAGCAGGCACATAAGAAAGCTCTACGACAAGCTATCGAGAGACCAAGCAGCCCTACTAGTACAAGTTAGATCAGGGTACTGCCGCCTTAACAGCTATCTCCACAAGATCGCGGCGGCCGAAAGCAGCGACTGCGAATGCGGAGCAACGGAGAGTGTCCACCACTTCATACTGGAATGCACGAAATGGGAAGAACAGAGACAGAAACTGAAGACAGCGGCTGGAGCCCGAGCAAGAGACCTGGCTTACCTCCTTAGAGCATACGAATCAGAAGCAAAAGACGGCCCGATCAAGCGCTGGTCCCCGAACATAGAGGTAGTTACGGCAACGCTACATTTCATCCAGGACACTAGAAGATTAGACCCCGGAACATGATACCCTCCTACACATTCCCTTCCATACCTTCCCCCCTATACCCTCCCTCCCATACCTTCCCTTCTACTAACTATATGGTCTTAATCCTCCGATCCGACGCTGTGCCCGAGTAAGAGCAGCGTCACTCTAGAATAGAACCTAGAGGAATAGAGACGTCCAGCAAACTGACCATCTTATTCCCATACCACAGTTATAATAATTTCCTATGTTAGAAGCAGATAATTAGAGAAGATAGAAGAAGGAGATAGAAAAATGGGGCACAAGGCCACAAGGCACCAACGCATGTAATTAGTCAGCTTAGGTGGTTCCCCAGTCCCCACATGGGCCTCGCCGAGAGGCCTGACGGGCGTATGAATCTCTCTCTCTCTCTCTCTCTCACATCGCGATCGCCCCCCCGCTTTAGCCCGTGTGATATGATTGGAACGAACTATAAAACTACACGCTCCGCGGCGTCCACTTCGCGTCCGCAGACACTGCCGGATTCTGACCTTGCGCCTGACTGAGTCCGATCGTTGAGTCTGGCTCGGATGGTTAAGACGGACGCTAATAGTCGAGACTTCACTCTGATTATCGAGACTGACTAATTTGATAACGCAAATAAATCCAACAACGATGGATTCTTTTTCAATATGCCTCCTATAAATGAAAGTGCAATTGCTGAAGCTATATAAGCTTTTTGAGATTGAGAATTCCCATCGATTCGCAAATTTGCGGACGCTTATGGCGTTAAGTACTCTACTCTCTAAGAACATATCTAAAAGGGCACCGAATCCCATCAAAAAGGGGCCGAGAAGTTGCAAAAGTTGTTAAAAGATTAAGAAAAATGGCTGGTCTAGCGGATTACGGAAGAAGACCTTTACGGGAGGGCCCCTTCGCATGCCCAGGTTCGCTAAATGGCAGAACTGATTGCGAAAGAAAATAGAGATAACACTCCCTGCGGCACAAATTGGACCGACGAGTTTCTACTCCGGAATCCTGAGGTAAAAACAATTATCGGACGGACGATCGAGGCTTCCAGAATAAATTCTGCCACAAAAGATGTTATTTCGGAGTTCTTTTCGGCTTATACACGCATTATCGAAAGGTACAACATTAAAACCCATAACCAGTGGGATTTTAATGAGCATGGCATCGCCCTAGGGTGCGGAATTAATGCCGCGTAATTGTACCAGTCTAGGAGAAACAAAAGAGGAGGAAGAACACGATATACGTGAAGATTCCTAAAGATAGAGAATGGGTCTCTGTCCTAGAATGCATATATGCAGATGGCCGATCAATTACACCCCTGACTATCCTTAAAGGCGAATCTCTGTAGTCGACGTGGTTCCCTTCTCGCGATATCCCGAACTGGCATTATACATCCTCAGAAAATGCCTGGACATCCAACGAAATTGGCTTACAATGGCTCGAGAAAAAGTTCTTACGGGAGGCCAAACCCCTGAACCAAAATGGAGAAGAAGACTCCCGAGAATAGCGCTTTTTGGTATGCGCCGGGCACGGTACGCATGCTAAGACCCAGCTCATGAAGTCGGCGAAAGATGGTAAGGTATTTATTTTATGTTTGCCGGCCCATTCTTCCCATGTCCTCCAGCCTTTAGATATTGCATACTTTTCGCCCCTGAAATCAAGATATCATAAAGAACTGAGCCGCCTGTCTTCGCTTGATGACTGTGCACCAGTCAAGAAGCATAATTTTAAAGAAATATATTATAAATCTCGAAATACGGCTCTAAATTCGCATAACATCCGTGCAGGGTTTCGTGGAACAGGAATGGTGCCCTTTAACCCAGCCAAAGTATTAAATAGTTTCGTAATTGAACGAAATTCGCACCGTAATGCCCAGTCGTGTAACCCCTGAACTAATTCCGTATATATATAGCACACCAAAGGGGCCAAAGGACATATATAAGCAAAAGTTTGAGGGAATATTATCGCGAGACTTCGGGGGATTCTAGGGGAAGTTGGCCAAGTCCCTGGCGGAGAAGAATACCGAAATCGCTACACTTAAAGCACACGTTCTACAACTTGAAAAAACTATTCAAGATCTAGGTGGTTCGACTACGAGGAAAAGGAAACGAGTCCAGCCTGATTTAAACGAAAGATTTGCTACAGTTAAGCAAATCGTTGCGTTGTAGGAGGCGGCCAAAGAAGCGGAGCGGAAAGCTGCGGAAAAGGCGGAGAGAATTTCAGAGCACGCAAATCTAGATTCGAGCACTTATGCTCTGTATTTGAACTAGATGTATAGAAATATATATGGTGGCTGTTTTATTTGTGTAACTCTAGGGCAATACGTGGATCAAATGGATTGTTTGTGGTGGCCGGAAACTGGGATGACCGGAAACTGGGTGCTTTGACTTAAGAGGTAATTATTATGAATAAATTCGAGGGATTCGTCGTCGTAGTGAAATTCGAACCGGACTAGGTAAGTCGCTATTATTCTAAAAGCAATTGAATTGGGAATATAAACCATATCATTCTATGTAGGATCATCGCATCTAAAATAGCGAATTCATTCCTTACTTTGTTACTTTATGGTATAACTATAACATGTTGACTCTTTGACCTATTATATAACTGCCGTAGTATCATGTCTTAAAGCCAACCTAGAACAATGGAAAAATAAGCCTTTTATGATGCTTCTGTGAATATAATTCGAGTACTCTTTTAACGGAGATTCGAAGACTGCGAACTCTAGCTTCGTTCCTCCAGGCTCTCTTTCAGCGACACCCGCTTGCGGGTTCGCATCTCTTGTTTTAAGAACCTAGTGAGACTGCTCGGATTTTCCTCTCTAAAGCTAATACCCCCGTGACCCCGTCAGTCCCTCGGCCAACGCTAGCATCGCTTCGGCGAAATCTGCGAATATCGCATCGGAGGTAACGGCACATATTGCCCGAAATTCTACCAGGCTTAAGGTGGTCTCTCTCGTTACTCCCCGTTACGCGCAGTAATAAACAAGTAGTTTTACACAGGTCAAGGAATGGTACTATTTATCGTCTATATATACTTCCGTCATAGCGCTAAGTTCAAGAGTTTAGCAGCCGTATCGCCCTCCCTTTTTAGTTCTTGTTTATTAATAAATCAACCAGATCGGTTTCCGTTGAAACATGGGTCCATCCTCCCCTAAGCAGTCCGCAAAGCCTGAACCAACAACGCAACTCTCGTCGTGGATTTCATCGGCGACTTTGAACGATATACCGGAAGAAATTCGGGTTCGTGCAAAACATCTGATCTTAGATGGCCTTGGATGCGGGCTCCTTGGTGCCCATCTGCCATCTTCTGAGAAAGCTGCTCGAGCTATCTTTGACCTAGAGCCTGTTGGCGACGCGACTGTGATTGGTTGGCCAGATAAAAAGCTCCCATCCCTTTCCGCAGCGCTTCTCAATAGCGCGTTCATTCAGGGCTTCGAGCTTGATGACTGGCACAGCGAAGCACCGATCCATTCCAACAGCATTCTGCTGCCTGCCTTGTTCGCTGCTGCCGAGCATGTAGTATCCAAAGATAACAAATCCTCGCTGGTTTCCGGATCCGATATTCTTCTTGCCACAATCATCGGATACGAGGTCGGCCCGCGTGTCGGCCTTGCGCTTCACGGTGCTCACGTTCTCACAACTGGATGGCACTCCGGCGCCGTCTTCGGGCCCGCAGTAGCAGCTTCCGCTGTTGGCAAACTGCTTGGTCTCACGCCCGAACAGATCGAAGATGCATTCGGGGTCGCGTGCACGCAAGCCTGCGGTTTAATGTCTGCACAGTTTGGAAGCGAAGTCAAGCGAATGCAGCATGGCTTTGCGGCCCGGAACGGCCTTCTCGCGGCATTCCTGGCCCAGGGTGGCTATATCGGGATCAAGCGCGTGTTCGAGCAGGAATACGGCGGCTTCCTCAAACAGTTCAGCTCCGGCAACGGCATGGAACCTCAGTACCTGGTGGACGAACTGACCAAGGATCTTGGTGTCAAGTGGCAGACTCAGGGCGTGCGCGTGAAACCGTACGCGTCTATGGCCGGCACTCATCCCACTATTGACTGTGTCCGCAAGCTGCAAGAGCTTTATCCGGAGCCGATGCAAAACTGGACCAGTGACATCGCAAAAATCACCATTGAGCTGGGCGAAGCGGCCTTTCATCACGGTGGCTGGAAAGCCATCCGCCCCCTCACAAGCACAGGGGCGCAGATGAGCAATGCCTACGTTGCTGCAACGCAGATTGTTTATGGGGAGGTGCTTGCGGCGCAATTCAGGCATGACATGCTGGAGAATGACAACCTTTGGAGGCTGGTCGATGTGACGGACTGTGTTTTGACAAAAGAAATAGGTGCTCCTCGTGGACGACAGACCGTCACGGTCGAATTCAAAGACGGCACCGTGTTGAGGCAGCGTGTAGATTCGGCTCGAGGAGTCGAGCCCCCTCTGTCGAACCAGGAGATTATCGAAAAATGGAGACAGATCACGAAAGACGTCATAGACATTGAGAGAGCCGAAAAGATTGAAAGGTTGGTTTTGGAGCTGGAAAAGTGCGATGATATCATGTTACTCCAGGGGCTGATGGGTGGATTGACAAAGAATCCGATAGCGTAATTAGTATAAATAATTCAATAATGATTATAGAATGACCATGCATAAAGGCGCTTTCGTGTGTAAGAAATCGAATGTGGGTGCGACGTGGTTTTGAACTATATTCCTCAGATTTTGGTAGGTCAATACCAATTCAAGTCTAGATCTTCAACTTCACCCCAATTCCAATTTGGAAGTTCTGAAGGATCTAATAATGGGTTTGGAAGTGTACCTTGATCGATAGACTCCACTTCGAATAGTTCGGCTATGTTTTGGTGTATTATAGTCTCCGTCGATACTGAGGCCTCGATGGATGATGATGCGGCATGTGTTCGATCCGTCTCAGACTCAACATACGGATTAGACTTCCCCCCGAATTCCGCTCGCCACCACCATAGACAGTCGAATAAGACGCTCATAGACTGGAAATTATCAGCACAATGATACCAAGACCCTTGTTAGACTCACCAGTCGACCGCGAAGTAGCAGCCGAAGACCGTCTATGGAACCATCTTTGAACTTGAATACTCGAGTACTTGACCAGAGTTGAGTTAGTATGATGGAAGTTCGACCATCTAGGTCATTGTTTTGAATTGAATGCTTCTTTGAAATCCGAATTGCTTCAAAGAACATATCCTCACCGGCGTCGATATCGATTTGCGTGCGCAAACTGCTTCTATGGACGCGAAGAATGCATACTGCAGCCAAAGCTATCGCGCGTGTTTGCAAAGCGTTGCAGTGATTTCCAAAGTCATGATACTTGTCCATTCGAGATGCTGATTGGATCATACTGCAAGAGATGACATAAAGCTGGAGAATTCCGGCCGTACGTTCGGCCCCTGGAGCCGCAAAGAAGTGAAAGCCTCGGATCAAGAGGCGGACGTTGTTGAGTGCAAAAGTGCCTACAATAATGTTAACAATCCGACTATGTTATCAAGATCGCAATATTTGTACAGAATGAATACATCTGTTTCTTGTTTGTGACTGCACTTACCTAGATCATTGGCTTCCACCGGAGAGATTTCTTGAGCCTGGGCATCGTAGAATAGTATTGACGAATTTAAAGAATCTCCATCCCTAGTGCAGTCAAGATCGGTGGTGTGCATTATCGATGCCAATGCGCTCGTCAAAACGCGATGCAAACGATATTGATATAGTATAATTCCAGGTAGACCATCTGAAATACTCAAATTCCTGTCGGCACAAACTGGATCTAGCGCCATCGGAGGAGGAAATCCGTCATGCATGTTCGTACTTGTTTGTATCAGTTGAAAAGCTCGACTTTGATGAAGTAAAAAAATACACACCTTTGGAAGACCGTGACACAGTGCGCCCAGAGACGGGCGCGGAATATTTTGTTTGCTGCAGGCTTTTTCAAAGCCACGCGCACAAAATCCTGATGCCTAGAGTAGTGCAGGCCTTGCTGTACAGCTAATTGCATAGCAGCACCTGCAATGGCAGGGTTCTGATCCCTGAACGTCGTGCTAATGGGTAAAGGCCAGAGACAGAGGAGAAGAGAAGCCTTGATGGTGGAAATGGCTTTGTCTGGATCAAATAGAGACTTATGTATGAAGTCTTTCAGTGGATTCGTAAGAGACTCGACGATAGTGGGGTCCTTTGCGTATCTTCTTGCTCCAACGTATACTATAGTCCAAAATAAGAAGTTGGACGATTCGTAGACATCATTGGGGTTTTTGTCGCCGTCGAAAATTCCCGGAAGAACCGGTTTATAGAATTGGTAAAACCTTGTTTAGTCAGGAAGGTTGATTGGCGCCAATTGAGGAAACATACATAGAAAAACACCCATTGATTTTCCGGGCACTCAACTCCACATCTCCTAATCGCTGGGAAATGGTTCGAGTTTCTTTACGGTCAGAATGCGTATGTTCGACAGTTGACGTGCCAACAGAAGGACTGAAAGCTGTACTGGCATCCGGTTCGTGAGGCCCTTCCGCAGTCATCAGGTTGTCCTGTGCTGGGGCTGTCGACACTGATAATGGAGTTACGCTCGGCTCAGAAAGAGGTTGGTCGAGACGAAAGAGCATGTCCTCTGGATAAGAAATGGCGTTTGGAAGCCGGTTGACAGGCAAAGATTCGGAATATTGATTCATGTTGGATTCGGATTCCCAACTTGAACGGCCATTAGGTGGCGGATTGGGCTGCTCTATTAGCATAGCTGAAGGAGAGTGATTTCTAGGAGGCGATCCATATTGTGCACGAAGTCTCTCCAGTTCGCATTCCAATTGGGCTTTACTATAGAAAGTCAACATCCGATATCTTTCAGGGGAAGTTGTCACCAACGTTTGCCTACTTCGCCTTTTGAACGATGTGGAGATAACACAGTCCCGACGCATATTCCGGCATCGGGAGCATGCACCATAATTGTCTTCATGAGCATCGCATCGTAGCTGGCTGAATAAGCAGAGAACAAAACCTCTTCGATCTATTTATACACACCTTCATCTGCCGACAGCCGTTACAGGCCCTCACCCGGGCCGATGCAGTAGTTGTACTAATTGTGGGAGGCGACATGTTACGCCGTCTCCTAGTCTTTAGCTCCTAGAAAAGACGGTAGGCCGGAGTCTGGAGATCACATGCATATTAAGAGCCAAAGTCGATTGATATTGAACTTTTAGGAACATGCACAGAGTACGATGTGGAGCAAAGAGTATAGAAGCCAGAATTACCTGGGAAGATGGCGGATGTCATGGAATTCTGTAGCATACATAGTCTCCACATTTCCTCGGCTGGTGAATTACCGGTACGGATGACTAGCGCATCCGTAAAGCTTGGCAGTTGGGTTATGTATCCAGCCTCGCACCTTTCTCTGGAGAAGACTCTTCAAGAAATAGTCTAATACAGAACACTGCCTCTTACTCGGCCCCTGCGTGACCCGTTGATCATTACAAACTACTCCTCACCCTCAGATGAACCTCCCAAAATCTATGCGTACGGAGTAATGCATTAGGAGCAACTGCATTTATTAGCTATAATTAGCCCAGCTTCTAAAGGGTTGATAATATATTAGGAATATATTCCTAATTCATTTATAATCTATTAGAAGAGTTTCCCCAAAGCTGTGACCGTCCAGAATGCCTTCAAGATCCATTGAAAATGCATTCCATTGGAACTTACTCCGTACATCTTGCCCCCTAAGGCTCCGTGTCCAAAGGTCGCGATGGCAGAGCACAATAGGATTGATAGATGGGCTGGATAAGTTAGGAATGGATTCTACATATTTTCTAAATGACTTATATTCTTGCTTAACGACATCTTGATGAACTGGGTGGTAAGAGAAGGAAGAGTTCATCTGAGAGAGTGAGAGTAGGCATTATCACCTGAGTGTGGATGGTCTGTGTCTTCTAGCAAAAACGTATTACGTATACGGATATGGCCGACTTGGGAGCTTACAGTTCGCCCACTCTCCAGATGAATTTTCGCATGAGAATTGCCAAGCCGGCGATAAGTTTTGCCAAAAGACTGAGTGGGCGAACTGTCGCATTTCGCGGGGTGATGATTAAGCACGTTCGCTGCTTAAGCTCAGGTGCTCTAGAGTCACAACGCAAGTTGGTATTGACGATTCCCATTGTCTCTTCAAAAGGAGATCTAGCTAGCAAGTCAGTTGAAGATAGTTAACTTTTTACAAGGGAAAAGACTAAGCGGTCCGAAATAGGCTTAGCCTAGGGGTAATGGGCAGTGAAAAGAATGCTAGGGCAGTAGAAACCAACAGGGGTATCTTGCGACACGAACTGTAGGCTCAGAAAGTGTCAAGATCTGATGTCATTACTTAGTCATCCGTTTCCCCGCTTCGGCTATTACTTAGTCATTCGTTTCCCCTCTTCGGCTATTACTTAGTCATAGGTATATCTACCTCGTTCGGTACTCTACTTCTTACAGAAATACAAGCACTTTACATTCTTCGTCACGTAACCTATTGCTTCCGTGTGGATAGACACGCTAAACTATCAACAGAAAGAAAGCCACCCCCCTGACCTCCCTCGATCTTGACCAATTCCACCAACTCGATGCTCACGGAATTCTGTGACCATTTAACAAAGAAACAAGAATACATAATACCAAACTTGCCCACCTGGACACATATAACAATCATTAGTGATTAAGCTCCGCTGGTAACATGCAATCCCCTCCCTCTTCCCCAGGGGCATGTGAACTATTACATGTAACCAGTGGTGCTAGGTGCTCTGCCAAAATTATTTCAGAGAGGTCAGAATAGATACTGGTATGCTTCAAGGTCGCGAACGCTTACTATTGACCTGCCTCTGCTAACGAATGATCATGCTTCCTTGTTTCAGTTCGAGGCTGCCACATTAATACTTTGCTCGACGGACTATATTCATAGCCTGACCTTAATTGTAGTTGGGTCATTTTAGGCACATCGCATGTATCTTCATCGTGTCTCACCCTAGGAGCAAGACGTACCGTCAATCTTTTTCATAAATCGGTGCATCTAACTCAACTCCATCCCTTTCCCCCCTCAATGTGTGTCTTAGGCAGTCTATGAAGAAAACAGGGAGAATATTAGGTCCCTCCATGGTGTAAGCTGCATCTGGGACTGGCAGCAGCTGATGACGAATTGCCGCACAATAGCATGGAACTTCATGTTGTCGCTTTTTGACACTTTGATAAGCGTACTGAAAAAGCACCCAACAACTAGCTCACATTGCATCACATGCTCTATTTGTGACTGAGCTCAGAGAAAGATTTACATCGTAATCTCCAAAAAAAAACAAATAGTGAAGTAGTAGTATCTAACTTGGTACTTTGCTCATATCTCTTGATTGGCAAGTCGCAGGGAACAACAGCAATCGTCAGTTAGAACCGAGTTTCATTTCAGATAACTAACTAATTCTGCGGACTATCATAATCTTCCTGCTTTCCCAGTGTTTCGCCTAGTTAGCCATACTATTCTCGGCATCCCGACTCAGAGGATGTACCTGAACCGTACATGCAGATCCTGTACTTCTTCCAAGCTCATATTCGTGTGCGGATGAACTCTTCCTTCTCTCTCATATTCTATCAGCTCCATTTCCCTGCGCAAGTTCGCCCGTCGCATCCACCACATCAAGTAAAGGCAATTGACGATTCCAAGTGCCAATAGTGCCAAAACAATGGAGTGTCCCTTCAGGAACCTCGGTGGGACATCATAAATATATGCTCCTAGGACCGATAACAATTGACCGACTATCTCAGCCATTGCCCAATTCGTCGCCCGCTTTGTATAGCCGCCTGCGTTAATGGTTATCCACGCCGAAAGGATTATGATAGACGGATAGAGTCCGGTAGTGGCGAGGCAAGCCCCTGCAATATTAGCTCCTTGAGAAACATTACACAAGAGTATAATATAGCCAATGCAGGCTACCGAAAGAGTGCCAATGAGAAAGCTGCCTTTGTGATTGATTCGATCAGATATAATGCAAAGGGGAATGGCGACGATGGCACAGGCATATGGAATGGCAGAGAACAATTGAGTCCTCTCTATTTGCAAAATTCATCAGAAAGAAGCTTCTCGCCGCGGAGTGCAAATGAACGTACCTCTAGAGTACCCGAAGGCTTGGATGAATGTTGGCAAAAAGGTACTTATTGACGAGATTCCAAGAGCCACGCCAGCATTGATGGTTGCAAACGCCCATGCCTTGGGCTCTATGAGCGTAATAATGATTTGCTTCACATTGATCTTAGATCCGAGGGTATTGTATGCTTGTTTTGCAAGTGTCAGCTGCGAGCAAGGTTTCCAAGTATGATCGACTTACAGGCACTTCGTTCTTTTGCAAGATCAATCTCAGCGGGTGTGAACAGCCAGTGCTTGCGGTTCAGCTTGTCAGGAAACGTAGGGAGAATCAGCCACGTAGCTACACCAACTGCCATGCACATAGCGCCTTCGATGATGAACAACCAGCTCCAACTGAGTCTGCCTGTGTTGTCAACCCTCAAGTTCTTACCAACGCCATAAGCAATAAAGCCACTGAATGAACCGGCAATAATTGCTGCCATATAAATGATAGCTATAATGGCACGTTAAAAGCATTCCACGGAGACGGAAGTCGGTAACATACCGCCTCTTGTAGCGACTTCATCTCTCTTGTACCACAAAGTTGAGTATAAACTTAATCCTTGTATGAATGCTTGACTCGCACCAATAAAAATACGGAGCGTGAGAACCGTCGCATAATTGGCAGCACCCGACATGCCAAGAAGAAAGGCTCCGAATACAATGGCACAGGCGCCAAGTTGACGGTGTGGAGTGAGCTTGCGGAGGAGGATATTCCCCGGAAGCATCTGAACTAGTCAGTAATCGTCCTTTTACAAGAAGATTAGACCCACAAAGATCATGTACCCGATATCTGCGAAAGGTAGTCAGAAGAAAGTTTTTCTAAGGCACAAGGGACAAGATTTACAAAACAAGGAAAGGCAGTTTCCCCATTGTTTTGTAGAAAGATTCAAATCCTTCTGCATTCCCAAAGTGCGTGCATTTCCAATGCTGTTGCGATCCTAATATCATCCATCTGTTAGTCCGGATCATGTTGGGTTGTGATAGAATCTACTGAAGAAAGTAGGTAAAGACATACAAGATAGGCAACAAGGTAAAGCAGAGAGCACAATGGGATGATAACCAGGTCAATTTTCATCACCAGAGTGCGCTCCTCTTTGCTCTTGTGATGAGACCCAGTATGGTCTGCAATATAGCCTGTTTCCAACTTTTTTTCGGCAACATCATCGTGGTGTATATGGGGTTTCTCAATATCCCCGAGTCCCGTTATCGGAGCGGATTTGCCATCAAATTGACCCATGTTCAAATAAAGAATACTGGTATTTAAAGAAACAAATTTTGCAATGCCAAAGCCTCAATCTGTTCTGACCTGAATTTATATATAAGCAGAATCCTGGGTTTGAAGCTTATACCCCAAATACCCCATATCCGGGTTCTCTGACCCCGCACAGGGACCCCGGCTGACCGAATCCACCTTGCCAAGCCTGGGGTACGGTACAGGAACTCCGACTTTGTGCATTTTCGCCGACCGCTGAGTGTGGATGCAACTTTACCAAAGATTACAGATGTGCCGATCGCCATGTAATGGATTGACTGGCCAGTGCATTATATGTCATAACTATACTTCCAGCATATAAGTATTTGGTGTAGTATCTCTCCGCACATCGTTCATCCTCTAAACTACCTATTTAATAGTTTACTAGCACGCTTGGGAATTGAGCAATTCGCCTTTTGGTCAACATGAGCGCTAAAGTCATTCAAGATTACGATGTTGTGGTAGTCGGAGGTGGCAATGCTGGTCTCGTAGCAGCGCTATCTGCGGCAGAAACTCCAGGCACAAAGATTGCCGTCCTTGAAGCGGCGCCAAAAGAAGAGCGAGGTGGAAACAGCCGTTTTGCTGGAGCAATTTTTCGTGTCGTTCACAATGGCAGCTCAGATATTTTCCCTTTAGTCCATGAAACCATGGCCAAAGACAAGGACCGCGTTACCATTGGACCCTATACACGCGAGATGTATGCAAGAGACATGTTGAAGACGTCCAAAGGCTACTGCGACAAGGAGAAGATGGAGGTGATGTTTGATCACAGCTTGGAGGTGGTTCAGTGGATGCATTCAAAAGGCGTCAAATGGCAGTTGACGTTGAGCAAATTCTACGACGAGACGAAGATTCATGGGGACGGTGAGAAGATCAATATGCACGCTGGAGGTTGTTTAATGGCAAAGTATGAGACTCATTCTTAGTGAACTTTCGGTTATATATTAATTGCGCAACGCAGACACGAAGGGGTTGGTTTAACAGATGACATTTGGGCGGCTGTCGAAGAGAAAAGTGACAGTATCACTCCCTTCTATGGCCATCCCGTCGTTGATTTGCTCGCAACCGGAGATACAGTCCACGGAGTACGTGTTCGCTTACGAGATACCTTTCTCGATTTCAAAGGCCAGGTCATCCTCGCCTGCGGCGGCTTTGAAGCAAGCCCTCGGCTAAGACGCCAGTTTCTGGGCGAAGGCTGGGATCTTGTCATTGTTCGAGGGACTCGTTTCAATACCGGTCGCATGATGGAAAAGGCCATAGCTGCTGGAGCAGGTGACACTGGGCATTTCGGCGGCTGTCATGCCACGCCGCAGGATATACAAGCACCAAAGGTTGGAGATCTGAGGGTGACGGACAAGATGAGCCGTTACTCGTACCCATATAGTGTTATGGTCAACTTGGACGGCCACCGCTTCATGGACGAAGGCGAAAATCAGTTCGGACTGACCTATGCAAAGACCGGCGGGGCAATTGGGCGGCAACCTGGAGCGACAGCTTACCAAATATTTGTAAGTCTTGACTACCTAGACTTCTCAGTCCCCTTTGATCCAACTAACATCATCTGAACAGGACCAGAAAACACTGCATCTCCTTGAACCTCGATATAGCACAGCAACCCCTATTATTGCGGACACGATGGAAGAGCTTGCTGACAAGATCGGTGTGGCTAAGATGGAATTTTTAAACACAATCAGAACCTTCAACGATGCCACCCAGCCTGGAGAATTCAATCCCTTCAAACTCGACGGTCTCAACACTGGAGACAAGCTCGCCATGCCAAAGAGTAATTGGGCAATTCCGCTGGATAAGGCACCATTTGTTGCGTACGGAGTCACCTGCGGTAAGTCCACCTCACCATAGCCATTATTCAGGACACTCGACCTAACGTAATTTGCTATCAAGGAATTACCTTCACATACGCAGGGCTGAAAACCGATGATGAAGCTCGGGTCCTGAACAACGAGGGATTGGTAATGTCAAATCTCTACGCGGTCGGTGAAATCAGTGGTGGCTTTTTTGCTTTCAATTATCCGGGCGGTGCGGGACTGACAAAAGGAGCTGTTTTCGGAAAAATTGCAGGAAAGGCTGCCGCTGAGGCTGCAAAATCAGACCAAACAGTTGTGATCAGGAATAATTAGTGGTCATTAGAATAATACTTTGACTATTGCATAATTCATGAACATCATTGATCGTACCCAGGAGCATTTCGAGTAAAAATCGGCGCTCAGTTTCATTGGCGACTATAATGTCGTGCTTCAGAGAACCCTTTTGCAAATACTGCATAGTCACAGGTATATACCAGCTTGAATCCAGTAACTATTGCATTATTGTCATATTCATTAATGGATCTAGGACACAAAATATGATCCGGGTGGTGTCGGTAATTAGTCATCTTCTACACCTTTCAAATGCAGGATTTTGTTCTACACACGAATGAGTATATTGGTAAATATCTAGTGACTGACGACTGCAATGCCAAGGAAATCCTCAAATATGTGCTCATAGAACAAATCTACACTCCACTAGAATAAGCTTGCCCTCCAGCTTTCTTATCGAGTTGTATACACTCCAAAAGTCCACACGTAGTGAACAAGGCTTTTGGTCCTTCCATTTGCCTTTCAGTCAACTTGACCGTGCCAGTGCTTTTCAATTCAGCGCTACTAGCAGTACAACTGTCGTAGACCGCTGTCAGCATTAGTCCAGGGTAAATCATGAGCTTAAATCCAAGCTCCTGCGCCTCCTTCGCAGTCAAATCTGGGGTTACTCCACCAGGAACGTTGTTAAGCAGAACGGGAGTTGGTGCCAGCACCCTGCAAGCACGTCTGCACTGGTCCACATCTGTAGGACCTTCCAGGAATGCAACATCAGCACCAACTTCGATCGCCATCTTCAATCTCTTTATAGCTTCATCAAATCCGAGAGATTGTAGTGAATCTGTCCTCGCAATCAACACGATATCCCCAGCCACCTCCCCGATGCTTGCCTTCATCTCCTCTCTGGCAATCACTGCTGCCCTGATTCTGCTGAGAAAGGTGTCCTCGTCGACGATTTCTTTCCCGAGTAGATGACCACATCGTTTGGACAAGACCTGGTCTTCCAGGTGCAGACCGGCAATTCCAGCTGCGATGTATGACTTGACTGTTCTTGCGACCATGACTGGGCCGCCATAACCGGTGTCCGCGTCGGCAATCAAGGGGACTGTTCGGTCCAGTGATGCAATCATGGCTGCGTTGGTGAGCATGTCGTTCATGGTGACGAGACCAAGATCAGGCATTCCGAGTCGAGATGCTGCTGTGCCAGCGCCAGTCTAACTTATGTGAGCTGATTGAATGTGATTCCGAAGGCGAATGACTTTGGGGTATTGGGCGCGTACCATGTAGAGACAATCGAAATTACCTCGCAGGGCAATCCGGGCAGTGAGGCCATCATAGACACCAGGACAGATCGTAATATGATCATCCCGACTGAGCAGTTCACGCAGCCGAGCAGTGGCGGATTTGAATCCATGAAAATCGGCCATGACTTGTTCTGCACTGTCGTTCAAGGAGTTTTACTGAAATGTATACGAGAATATAAGCTTGCTTCGATATAGCATGGCGATGTTCGAGCTTCTTGCTTCAGGCACTCCACACGGGGTATTGATAGCTCCCTCGAAAATAACTCAGGTGCTTATCCTAGAACAAAAATGCCGAACTAGAAGAATCCAAAGTCAATTCTATGCGACGATAGAACGTTGCCGATGCTCGCCGAACAGCCGCATGAACTTGGCGGCAAGATTGACGCCGACCGTGATTTATGGTACAAGGACGTGATCTAGAACGAATACTTTCTAAGCATTTTCAGAAATTGCGATAATTATCGATATTCAAGTCTGGTCTACGGATAGAGCCAAGGGATTCGCCGATGCCTTGGCCGACCCGCGCCGATTCGAGTCCCTTAGCGTCTCCGACTCTGACTTCCGTTCCGATCCCGATCTGCACTTGCGCAATAGGCGTCATTTCGGGAAATAGTGCTGTCTGAAAATGAGGTGAACTGAGTAATGTCAAGTGGAGCTGGCAACATAAATCGAAAAGGCGTGACCAAAGGAACACATACAAGTACCCAGCGAAATCGGAAATGAACCCATTCTATGCTATTTGTTATCTTTTTGCTGTCGTCATCCCGAATGAAAATCAATATGTCTGGATTAGTGAGTGAGAATCAAGATGACAGAGGGAGCCTGGTAGAGCTGCTCAAAGTCACTAGAGCAATCGATGTCAAGGGTTTGTGCCTCCAAAAGCTCAAACGCCAAGCCCCGCTGCGGACTAATTGCAATAGGATTCCTATTGTCAGGAGATATTCTCTCACAAATCGAAAGCCTTTCAGAGCAGTTGAAGTTAGACCGACACGAGCGCGAGGCCGATGCATTGCAAGAAGTTCATCAGCACTGTACGACCAAAACAGACTTTGGAGGACTCGGCCTTGCAACAAATCACCAGTTTAGTGATGCCGATGTTACTGAGGTCCTTTTCTTGGTGTCGGCATATCTGGAAGCCCTCAATTACCAAGACCGAAATTCATCTCCAGCACCAGCTCTAAATCAGCGTCCAGCTGGGCGTCGGGGCATGACTCTTGCCGAGAAGATATTTGCTGCCCATGATGTCTCTCGGAGAGGCGAAGTCAAACCAGGCGACGTTATCCGTCTGGACGTCGATTGGATCATGGCAAGCGAGCTCTCATGGCATGCAATGGAAAAGACATACGAGTCACTCGGCAAACCGGGAATATTTCGCAACGATAGGCTCTGGATAGCTGGCGATCATGTTGTGGACCCACGCGTGATGAACCATCCTCGGGTCAAGCCTCTGGTCGAGTCGAGCGAGAGGGCGAGAAAGGTTTTTAAACTGACAGAGTATCAAGGAATGAATTATACCATCATGCATACGGAGTTTTGCCGAGAGAGAGCACAGCCGGGAATGCTGATCATAGGATCCGACTCGCATACATGTTCTGCTGGAAGTGTATCGAGTCTCGCTATTGGTCTTGGTGTTGCTGATGTCACTCTCCCACTCGTGACAGGCGAGACGTGGATCAAGGTTCCGGAAACGGTTGAGATACGTTTTGTCAATAAACCACGGCCAGGCCTAGGGGGCAAAGATATTATCTTGTATATCCTGAAGGAGCTTAAAAGGAACACTGTCGCAGCGCAAAGAGTAGTCGAGTATACTGGTCCAGGGTTGAAGCACCTCTCCTGCGATGCTCGATTCGCGTTCTGCAATATGACAACGGTAAGTTCGTCTAATCTTGAGCTTGAAAGGCGCCTAAAAGCAAGCAGGAGTTTGGCGGCATCACGGGCGTATGCGTTCCTGATGAGATTACCAAAGCATTCATCAATAGAAGGAAGAACCCCAAGCACAAGAAGAACGCTCTGTACTATCAGCCTGACAAGGACGCACAATACGCCGAACGCTACACAATCGATCTCCATAAGGTCGAACCATTTGTCGCGCGTTACCCCAGCCCCGATGACGTTGTGCCCGTAAATGAGGTTGCAGGTACGACGTTGGATGGATGCTTCATAGGCGCCTGTACAACTGCGCATGAAGACTTGGTCCTTGCAGCCCTAGTCCTCGAGGCCGGTTTGAACAGAGGCATGAGACCGGTGACGAATGGCAAACGGAAAGTCGTCCCCGGGTCTCGCCCGATACTCCATGACTTGAAGGTTCGAGGCTTGGCCGATGTATACAAGAGAGCTGGATTCGACATAGGGGTTCCGGGTTGCAGTTATTGCGTGGGAATGTCTGCAGACAAGGCTGAAGTGGGTGAGGTTTGGCTGAGTAGTCAAAACAGGAATTTTGAAAATCGAATGGGCCCTGGTTCGTTACGATTCCACAGGTATAGGACCATGCTTACAAAGTCCACAGGAGCAATTGGAAGTATCGCATCTGCAGTCACTGTTGCTGCAAGTAGCTTCAGCATGACGATAACGGACCCAACTTCCCTTCTTGATGATATTGACTTGACCCGCTTGGAGAAGATCTTGGGTACTAAGGCGGAAGAGAAATCTCCGCTTCGATATGTTGAACCGGCAGCCCAAGAAACGCGGCAAAGACCGATTACATATAGTGCTCCACCACTGGCAAGAGAAGGGACTATAGACTCACCTGTATCATCTCGCACCGATAGAGCCATAATCGGCAAAGTCCAAACAATTGGCGACTTCATAGACACCGACGCACTAGCTCCCGCTGAGGCTTTGGTCAGCGCACAGACGGCCGAAGAATTTGGAGAGTACTGCCTCTATCACACGCATCCCGACTTCCGGCGGCGGGTCAAGGAAGAGGGGCTTAACGTGGTCGTCGCTGGCAAGGGTTTTGGGGTCGGATCGTCACGGGAGAACGCCGTGACAGCATTGCTCGGAGCCGGCGTACAGTGCGTGATTGCACGGTCATTTGCATTCATCTATGCGCGAAACCAGCCGAACTTGGGCTTATTGGGTATTGTAATCGAGGAGGAGGGGTTCTACAGCGTTGCCAAAGATGGAGCTGAAATCGAAATCGATGTTGCAAGGCGTGTTATCAAAGTTGGGGGCAGAGAGTTCGGATTCCAGATAAGTGAGCTGGAGATCCGGTTGTGGCAGCAAGGAGGGATGAGTGCATCGTTCGCCCGATGGGGAAGGGTAGTGCTGGAGAAGATAACGACGGGAAGCCATGCTTTTGCGGGAGAAGGAACTTTGGAAAGATCTCAGCATGGTGAAGAGCTGAAATGGTAGCAATGGCTACAAACATCAGTATTATTTCTTAGTAGTAGAGTGTATAATGGCTTTAGAAACGCGGGGTGAAGTTTCTGCCTTGACCCGTAGTTATCTTTGAGCCCATTTAAGCTGTTAGTGGAGTCTGGGGCTGATACAATTAACAGCATATGAGCTGGTTAGCACTAAGCGGGTTATTGGTAGTGTCGGAGAAAGTTCTCCGGCTGGTGATATTTTCCCACCAGGTTTTGTTATTTTCCCACCAAATGCTATTTTCCCACCACGCTAGCAATGGTGGAAATTAAATTCTTAATTAGGACTAGCTAAATTTTTTGGTCTTCCCCTGAGAATGTCAAAACTTCGAATCCTTCACTCTTTTCCTTCTTCAAAGATCTCTATATACCGGAGATGATACTCTCCTCAGATATCCCAGCATGGAGGATATTGCCCCTCCTCCAGATTGCCTTTACGCGTCCTACGAAGAAGCCTACGATTCTCTTCGGAACCATGGAATGCAGCATAGCTATAGCTTCCTGCTCAACCGGAGCAGACCTCACCACTCTGATGTAAAGACACGATACTACTACTCCTGCGATCGATCCGGAAACTATCAGTCAAGAGCAAGGGTTCGAAGCACAAGCACGCGCGCAATAGGATGTCCTTTTAAGCTTGTTATCTTTAAGATAAAGGTATTAGACGACAACGACCAGTGGAAGTTAGAGGTTCAACATAGCCATCATAACCACCCCCGATCACTCAACCCTAGTGCGCATAATGTCTATCGCAGACGTACGTCAGCACAAAAAGATATAGTCGAATCGATGACACATGCTGGGGTACGTCCGATGCAGATAATGGCTGCTATTCAAAAGGAGGATCCGGAAACACTCGTCTCTGCCACCGATATTCGTAACGAGAGGAAGACGATCAGAGAGAAGCACTT